ATAAAATTCAAAGCCGTAAAAGATAAAAACAAACGAAAAATCTATTGTGAATGACTAGTATTGTCAAGGGCGCAGGGCGAGATTTTGTACTATAATTATAGTATTTGTACATTGTACTACAATTTCATGCTTCGTTCTATATGTTATTCATATCTAAGTCTTCTTATTAAAAAATCTTTGGTGTCATAGAAATTATTACCACAAGTAACTTTTTTAAATTATCATTCAGCATTTTCATGTCAATCAAACAATTTTTACTAAATTTTGCTGATATAGGCGTGTCTTTTAGCACAAGTCTGTGCTAAAAGACACGCCTATATCAGCAAAATTTCCCTAAGGATTCCCTTTTCACCTGCTAATAACTCCGTTTTAATCAATTCTTTATGTTTTTTTACAGAGGTCAACTGTTTTCTTCATATCAATTTTTTTACGAATTTTGAATGGTTTGGAAATACGTATGAATAATCATGCGAAACATGTTATGTTGAAATTTATATTAATACAAGAAATTTGCAATTAACATTACTTCATTTTATTAACATTTCACGTACATTTAAATAATGTGCATCTGGTTACAAATTACCTATTATTGAATCGGACTGAAGTAAGTACATATATTTTTTAAACCAAAAATTTGAGCGAAAAAAATCTAAGGTTTTTCGATATATCGAGGCCGATATCGATATTTTTATAAATATTGATTTATTTCTCCACCTTTGATAGCCATATCAAGATAAACAGGCACACCCACTAATGTTACTTTCATTAGTACTAATTTACACTATGTGCACACCACAGATTAATTTTGAAACTGAGAGAAAGCCGAGACGATGCTGCCGTTATGACTGTCAATATGACATCCTAAAAATGGGTGAGAAAGTGTAGAAATATATCGATATTTATAAAAGTATCAATATTGTAATATAATAAGGCCAATATTGATAAAAATATCGTAGATATATCGGATTATGAAAAAATAGTTTAAAAATAATATATATAAAAAAATATCGATATATCGATATTTTTTCGGCATTCCTACGGTGTAGAGATGGGTCGTAACGCTTTTTCTGAGAACCGTATCTGAATCAGATTTCGAAACTATGTATATCAAGGAAAAAAAGTATTTTATCTAAATTTAATTTTTTAAAGGTTTTTTAAGACCAGCAAGTCCTACATGGTCTGGCGTACGTTTAAATATTTTTAAGTTTTTTTTTTCCTTTAGTTGCAAAGTTTGGAATCATAACGTTAAAACCTAATGCATAATTCAAATTTATGTATTATTAACACCCCAGAACACGCAATCATGAGTGACAATATTTTTATATTTTGTGTAAGCAATAATACATTCACTTATATAGTTTAGGGCGGAAGAATTTAAAATATACACACCAGACACATAAGCCTTGTCCTGACGTCCACCAAAGCAGCACACCACTATGAAATTATATTTTTCTTTTTCGTTTTGTGTAGTTTTATTTTTTTTTTTCCACAATGTGAATAAAATTTAATTTTAACATTTAACTCCTAAAAATCTTCCCAAAAAATTTACCTCCTAAAAATTTCTATTGCATATTTTTCTTCCTTAATTTAGGAAGAAAATTCCTAGGTTGGCATCCCTTACTATTAGGTGCTTATTGGGCTAAACAAAATTTAAAGACATCGTTAATACCATGATTCGTATTTAAATTAAACATAGCTTTTTTCCATGCTGTTAAGATTCAAAATTACTTAACTTATTCATAAAATCTGTTTGAAAATCTGATATTGTGCATTTTCTGCCGTACCCCTCTAACTAGTGTAATATTTCTAGCTCACGCGTTTTGTCGCTCGCTACGGCTCAAGGCTAAATAAAAGAATTAAAATATATCGTTATCGTTATACCATGCTTAGTATTTAAATGAAACGGATCTTATTTGCATGCTGCTTAGATCCAAAATTACTTAACTTATTCATAAAATCTGTTTAAAAATCTGATATTGTGGCAAACGCGTATGATATCGCGATTCGTGTTGGTATAGCGATTAGCGAGTATTCGGTACATCAAATTTCGTAAATATCAGATATTGTAAACTAAACAGATTTTGAACGAGCCAGTAAGCGATTTTTGGATAATGTACCAATATATAGTTTTCATATCTGTATACGATTTTTATCGCTCACTAGAAGAAAGCATATCTAATATCTACCCTACCCTGTACTCAGGGTAGGATTTTGTACTATAATTATAGTATTTACACTATAATTTTATGCTTCGTACTATATACTATCCATATCTAAGGATAGTACGAAAACGTACTATAATTTTATTACTTTACCTAAATGACCAATATTATATTATAAGTTCTTTGGGTTGTAATCACGTTGTAATTCTTTAACTTTTTTCAATACTCCGCTTTCTCAGTCACTTTGCACTCAATGAAGTAATTAATTGAGTTCATAATTGTCTAACAGTACTATTAATTTATTTACCTGCATCTTTTTGAAATAAGAAATGAAAAACATGTTAAGTCTATTCCGAAGTGGTGGAATAAGCCCTTATACCTTCTGTCCAGAAGCTTGCCCAGCAGAGGGACGTATAAAGGCTGTAATTTTAATTCAAATTAAGTCTATCAGACAACTTAGGTAATCGATAAATTTAAGTAAATAGGTTTTAGTAATTATTCATTCATTCTGTCATATGAAGGCATAATGTTAATGGTTATGAATATTGTATTGTTGGATTCTAAGATCTTCATATAGATTTATATCAAATTACTAAAACTGGATTAAATATTTGATTGTTTATTTGATTCAGAATGAATTTAAAAAAAAAACCATTAGTGATTAATTACCAATTATCAGTTTATTTGGCGATAAAATTTAAGGATCATTGAATTACGTAGGTATTAATGTTATTTGTAACATGATGTACATTTGATAATGAATTTGACAATTACCAGTAAAACATAATTTTCTATTTCAAGTTCTACAAATTAATACATGGTATGAAATAAATTTCTGGATATGTCACTGAATTCAAAATAAAGTAAACAGAACTTATTCAGACATTGGTTATAAGCTTACAATAGTATTTAATTTTGTAAGCAACTAATATAATTTATAAGCCACAAATAATATTACACATATGTAACTGTGGGTAGATAAACAACATGACAATTTGTTTATCTACCTTTTTCTTACTTTTACATTTAAATGTAAAACAAAACTATTTACATAAACCTATACTCATAGTTGTAATTTAATTCTAATTTTAAAGTAAATTTCAACATTGTTATAAAAGCGAACATACATAAACCAGAAAAAATGGAAATATCCTTCTTTACAGAAATTATATTCTATATAGACAAACCTAAATTAACCTTTGCCCAATGCTAAGAAAGCATGACTTCCCAAGGAAACAAATTAAATACCTAGATATAAAAAGGAATGGAATTTAATTACTAAATTTTTCTACTAGTTACAATTTTTTTTCATGCTAACAAAGGTGTTGTGTCGTAGTTTTAGGCTTGCACGTTGCTGACATGTTTATGATTTCATTGTTAAGGTAAAAATTTAAGGAAAAGCCATACAATATGAATATAATTCAATCTCAAAAATATTATTTGGAGAAATGCCAGAAATTAAAATATCTTGTTGTTTATCAAATTCATAATGTTAAATTGAGTTCAATAATACGTAACTAATTATCTATAATTTTTTTCACTTTTATTTTGAATTGTTGACCAATAGGAATAAATATTTTATAATAAGTTTATTTGCCAAATTATTATACTGTTGTAAACAAATAAAATTACACTAGTCAAGCACGACTCACACCAACCTAGGCGCCTCGGAATTTTATTTGTAACGTGACATGAATATTTATATTTTAAACAGTATTTGTAGGTAATAAATAAATAGCAAATTTAAAATAATCATATTAGAACCAAGCTTAATTCACTATTGTCTTGTATTTTGTGAGGAAGGGATTCGGTAGAAGTCCCAACAATTACTGCAACTGAAAAGATCTATCGTAGTAGGATAACATTATCCTGTTTTGTAAGGATGTTTTACATATATAAATGTCATTGGGATCTGTGTGGTTCAAAATAATTATCTGTGGGTCACACAAATAGTTGTCTAGTGTGGAAGTCGAACCCATGACCCCCAGACGCCTAAACCAATATCTTGGCAACTGCGCCATGAAGTCATCAATACAATAATTAACTCACTAAAATAATAAATGCAAAAGTCAATTTTACACCTAATCGGTTTTGATTGCAATTTGGAATGGAGACAGTGTAAAAATTTGCCGCATATTAACGCCAGTTTTCTCATATCTACAATCTGCATTGAACTTTTACGGTACGCTCCTCGCGTATTCCTAGAAAGTCAGATATAATAATTATACTTTACATTTATATGATAAGAGTAGAAACAAAACAGCTACTTGACCGAACGATGTGAAACGAAATCACAGCGACTGTTGCCGTTTGGTGTGAATCGTACCGTAATTGATACATATAGAAAACAATAGATGAAAATTAACAGACAATTTTAAATACGTATAACATTTTATTCATATCGGTCTTTCATAAAATAAATTACATATGTACGTCGTCATATGTTTCGCACAGATTTCCACTAAGGCTTGAGATTGATAAATGAAAAATTGGACATTCCGTTAAATGTTGATATTTCAGAGACTGACAAACACCAACATGTGCCAATGTCAAGGAAAAAGTAGCGACCATTACACACGTGATATGGGAATAGGTGACACATTGTGACAGCACTAAAATATTTACTACTAATTATATCATGAATAATAATATATTGAATGAACAATATTATTATATCTGAAGGACAAAAATAGTTTTTCAAACTATTAACTTTAATATGATGATTGAATATGTGTTGACCATGTTTTATGGCATCAAATAGAATGAACTGAAACAGAATATAGGTGTCGTGTGAGTGAGTGATAGCCCAAGAGGTAGTATCTATGCGCAAGGATGTTAGCTCATGGACAACTGCCCGAGAGCCAGTAGCCTTTCCACAGCAGCATTCACATCGCCAAATGTTGCAATCAGCGCTGCAAAACAAAATCACACAGTTATCTATACTAACCTTTTACTACATTAAATGGGGACCTTCTATATAAATTTTGTGTATATCAGAAATGTCTAAATTGTATATATTTTATTTAAATCAAGCAACTTATTTCGAGTGTAGGTAGGAATAAGAGATATAATGGGTATTATAATAATGTATTAATGTGTTTATCTTATCCTTTAAACAAGCAATTCTTGTATATATATATACATAATCGGAATCTCGGAAACGGCTCCAGCGACTTTCATGAAATTTACTATGTGCGTAGATTCGGGGGCGAAAAATTGATCTAGCTAGGTTTCATTTTTAGAAAATGTCCTTTTATCCCTGTTTTCAGGGAATGAAAAATATCATTCGAATATGACAGTAAATTTCGCCGCGAAAAATATTATGCATATTTCATTACTCAGTAATTTGTATCTAAATGTAATTTCCAAAAAAAACCGAGCAAAGGTCCTCCAGGTACTAGTAGTTATGAACCATGGACCAATTACGAAGGCTACGGCTGGAGGATACAAAAAATAATTATGTAACAAACCGGTGTTGTATTTTGCTTATTTTTGATTTTGATGATTTGTGCTGTACCAAGACAATAGCCTCGTTTTAAATTAATGTTTATTGTAGGTACATTTTATTACACAAGACATCAATATTATAAAAGCTTAGTAATATAGGGTATCTTTGTCAGTTTTAATTATTGTATTGGTTATTTCAGCTATGCAGCCGCCTATGCAACACGAAACAGGAGACTAACATGCTGACTGCCATTATTGCATAAAACATAAATGACTGACATGTTTCAACTTTTCCAATCAACAAATGAAGACAATTTGACGTTTATCTAAAATTGACTAGCATGTGAGCAGCCTATCCAGGCTTCAATTCGTTTAGATAATCCCAACTAAAAAATAGGTTAGGGAAAAACACTTATATTTTGTATATACAGCGTGGTGTTACAACCGTGGTATTAAATATATAAACGTAAAAAAATATAAACGCTAAAAAAATATTTTAAAACAAACTAATTAAATAAAATAGAAACATAATTTGTAACATCCTATACAACTGGCTGATTCATTCGTAATGTTTACGTTTTCGTCTCAAAACGACAACGTTGCAGTCGCATAGTGCCTACAAACCTTACATCATGGTCCTTTCTTTCTAACAGCATTTTTTGTCTCCTTTTAAATTCATTCACCCATTCATATGGTTTGTGACCTTTACTAATGAACTTCACGCTACAGTTTTATACTTACAATGTGTCCTAAAATTGCTTGTTTTAAAAATATTAATAAATCGGTAAATATTGATTTTTAATAAAAATAACTTATGTCAAATACATTTAAAAGTAAACCTCAATATGTGTGTTAATTTATTATCGCGGTAGTAAAAACACTTTGTATAAAAAACTCGTTGGTTTTACGATTTGTATCTGGCTTGTTTTTGTATCATTAAATATATGACATTGTACAAAAGGCAAAAAAAAACACTATCATTTCCTGCCAATTTTCAATTGTTTTTCTGTCCGCCAATATGATTGAGTCTATCAAAGTAATCTGACATATTCTTTAAAATTCTTTGGGTATTGTTAGGTTAATGTCAAGAAAGGATTGTGCAAACTACTTGACACATGCACATTGCCGAAGAGTATAATCTACTTTTGTACCTAGAGTATGTAGACTATGAGAAAGCCTTCGATTCTGTCGAAATTTGGTACTACAGGCCCTCCAGCGTTGCCAAATTGACAGTCGGAATATCGAGGTGCTGAGGTGTTTGTATAAAAAGGCTACGATGTCCGTCCAAGTACAGTCCAGTAGTACAATACCTATTCAACTGCAGAAGGGTGTAAGACGGTGGTGTGACGGTGGTGTTATATCGCCGAAACTCTTCACCGGTGCGTTGGAAGATGTTTTCAAGCTTCTGGACTGGCAAGGACGTGGTATAAACATCAATGGCGAATACATCACCCACCTTCGATTTGCCGACGACATAGTCATCATGGCAGAATCGCTGGAGTACTATGTTAAATGACCTCAACAGTGTCTCTCGACCGGGAGGCCTTAAGATGAACATAGACAAGACGAAGATCATGTCTAATGACCATGTCACGTCTATACCGTTTGTTGTTGGGAGCACTATGCTCAAAGTTGTTGACGAGTACGTATACCTAGGACAGTTAGTCCGGCTAGGTAAGTCCAACTTCGAGGCAGAGGTCAATCGGCGAATCCAACTCGGATGGGCAGCGTTCGGGAAACTTCGGCAAATCTTCTCATCAAAGTTACTCAATGTTTGAAGATTAAAGCCTTCAACCAATGTGTGTTGCCAGTGATGAAATACGGAACGAATGAAAGACGTGGTCCTTTACTGCTGGCCGTATGAGATGAGGAAGTTCAAAGTCGCTCAGCGAGCTATGGTGCGGGCTATGCTCGGTATTTCTCTGCATGATAGAGTTCGCAACGCAGTAGAATTAAAGTACCGACATAGCTCCGAAGGTTGGTAAGCTGAAGTGGCGATGGGCCGGCCATATAGCTCGTATAAACGATAAACGCTGGGGAAGAAAGGTTCTCGAGTGGCAGCCTCGAATTGGCCATCGCAGTGTGGGATGACCCCCGACTAGATGGAGTGACGACCTGTGCAAATGTGAGGGGAGTCGATGGATGCAGGTGGCTCAGGATCGTGCTACGTGGTAGTCTGTGGGGGAGGCCCACGTTCAGCAATGGACTCAAACAGGCTGAAATGATGACGATGACTTGTCACATATATTTGATCAGAAGTCCCAAAACTTTCTACAGCCGTGGGATTATGTCACTATTATTATATACAAGATGACATCTGGTTATCAAACTAAATGACACATAAATGTAATTTAATTTTGGAAAAAAATATCTTGAATATAAAATACTAATAAAGTTTTTAACTAACCTAATAGTGTTTTTAAAAACGCTTTATTAAAAAATGGAAAGGCGTCTATTGGTGTTGCAAATGTCCTTGGGCGGCGGTTATCACTTAGGATCTGGTGAACCGCCACCGCGCTTACCACATACTCGCATAAAAAAAAAGCTTGAACCTACCCTGCAGATTGGCCTCCCTGTTGAGAAAGCCCATAGCAGTAAGTTGTTCCAGTTGTTGAGAGTAGCGTTGCTCTGGTGGCTGATTGGAGCTTGTTTGGTTATTTGACATGGCTGCCATCATTCGCTGCATGAACTAATAAAAAAAACATTAAATCAGTTGAATCCTATAATTAAATATACACTAAATACTGTCAAGGCAATGATGGCCAGGAGCCAATTCATCCATTTTTCAGATTTTATAACTGCAAAAATTACCATTTTGGCCAAGTATCTTATGACCAGTCTTTATCAAATGTCAAATTTAGAACAAATGACATTTTTTTCTGCAACATGAGAGATGTTACCCACTTCAGTTACAGTTACTTATGATGGACAAATGAGGGCTAAATAAGCGCTGAACGAAGAAGGAAGTTTTCCAAGGAATGCAAAAACAAGTGTTAGGTAGTTAATCCATAGGACTCACAGGCATTTGGCAAACTGACTCGCAACCTCTAGTAATAGGGAAGTAGAAGTGTGGTTGATAGCATAAGCTATTATTTTCTATCATTTAGGAGTGATGTTAGGAAACTTATTTGCTGTAACCAAAAAATAAAAACTTTTTGCTAGTCCTTTTGTATGTATGTCTTTATACATTGTAATATAAGTTTTATATGTATCCATTATTAGACCGTGAATAAACGTTTCTTCTTCTTCTAATATCGTAGGAACATTAATTTGAAAATAATTATTGCCTTATTCTTTTTTTTTTGAAGTTTTCTTTCGTCCATCCTACATATGATAAGCATTAATTTGGTTCAACCAACCTGTGAAAACAGCTCAGAGTTTTGCTGCTGACGAGGCGGGGCGTTGGTTTGCCCTGATGGCGGTGTGGGTGTTGTAGTGGTGGTGGTGGTGGTGGGTGGCTGCGCAGTGGCCGCCGCCACTCCTAGACCCAAGTTATTCACCAAACTCGGAGCTGCTGTGCGCAGCTGCTCAATGCCTTGTTGTATTTGGAGCAGTGCATTTAAGGCCTAAAAATTATTTTTTTAATAATGCGAGGTTGTCATTTGCAGAACTGTGTAAATTTTGTATAAAAATGTGAGTATTTTAAAAAAAAGTTCCTTGAATAGCTTTACATCTAATATGTTGTCAACAACAAAATGGCGGACTTTCTTAGTGAAAATAACAAGTTTTAAATATTTTTATGAGCAACAAGTGAATTCTCTTTGTTGATTTCATTAGTGATTTTTCTTTACCGAATAAATTTTTTTGGTTAGGTGGAACAACACCCAGTGCTTAAGAATTTTAGCGAATTAAATATAAGTGTGACAAAATTATATGTACCTGTGGATTAGTCATCATCTGTTGCATCTCAGGATTCTGAAGTTGAGCAAGCATCTGGGGCATCATTGTGCGCATTTGTTCTTGCAGTTGTGGGTTGTTGGCGAACATTGGGTTCTATAGAGCAAAAAAATTTTGTGTCATAACATTTAAAAAATATATACATTTCTTGCTTGTTTTTTTCTGGTCTGATCAAAGTTTGCAATAGATTATCAGAGAATTAATTAATCCAAAGATTGGCCAAGTAAATCACCAGACATTACAGAAAAATAGACTTAGAGAGGTAGATATAAACCTTAAATTTTTTTGACTTTTGATGACTGGACTTTCATATCTTATTTCATAAAATAGTTTAAAAAAAGTATATTTTATGCAATTTATAATTTTTTTATATGGTAATTTGATTCCTTTATCGAACAGTAAATAAAACCAATGTCAAGTTTAGGTTGCCGTTAAGAATGTAACGATGTGACTATCCAAGAAAAACACAGTTTTAAATGCACAAGTAGCTAAACATGACAAGTGATGCACATGCCTGATTGATGAGCTGAGTAGCCATATCGGGGTCTGCAGCCAGAGCTTGCAGCATGTTGTTGGTGTAGGGCGCCGAGAGCATCGACTGCACCAGGCGTGGGTTCTCCGACATCTGCTGCAGGAGTGACTGCATTCCGGGAGTGTTGATTAGGCCAGGGCCCGTAGCAGCGCCCGCACCACCGCCTCCACCGCTTCCACCACCACCACCCCGCTGCCACGGGTTGGGCAACGGTTGGCGATTCTCGGCGCCTTGTTGCGGATTCGTTCCGTCTGCAATAGTCCATAAAAGATAACCGTCTATCTAAAACAGTGACTCAAAAAACTAAGAATACACATACACTCACAAGCAGTGGTGACTCGTATTACTTTATAGGTGGCTAAGTATAGGTTGGCAAAAACTATGTATGGTCAGTCGTTCTTTTGCAGTTATACCATATCTTTTAGAAGCTGATCAAATATAAATTAAACAAACTTGCAATTCTAATTGAGCAACAAGATTTTTGGAAATGACTCTTGCTTTGTATGGCCTTCTACTAATTTTAGGCAACAAATATTATAGGTTATATTTAGCCGAATAAGGAATATACAGCGGGTCGTTACCATCGCGACTACAAATGAACACACGTCTAACGCTACTTGCCAATAATCATAAAAAATATTAACGTTAAACAAAATCCATAATTAAAAAAAAATATTTTTCAAACAAACTAATTAAGTAAAAAAGAAACAAAATTTGTAAGATACTATACAACTCGCGCCACAGCGTCGGATTACAAGTCTCTCCTTCTAACAGTATGTTTGGTCTCTTTTAAACTCATTCAACCCATTCATATGCTTTGTGACCTTTACAAATGAACTTTACGTTACAGTTTTATACGTAAGGGTGTTCTAAAATTGTTTGTTTTGGAAATTTTAATAACTCGGTAAATATTGATGTTTAAAGAATGTAAATGCTTAATACAATTTTAAAAAGTTATCCTCTATATGTGTGTTTATTTATTGTCGCGGTGGTAACGACACGCTGTATATAAGATATGAGTCCAAATACTTAAGTAAGATATCTAGTTGTTGATAAATCATTGAAAAAATAAATATATTGATAAAACTAGAATAAAGTACGTATATTTAAAGAAAAAAGAAACAATAACGATTGACAATGGCGAATATTCGGTATTCGGCATATAGTCGTATAAACTATTAAGTGCAAGTCTGATGTTTTGTAAAAATTATTGGAAAGAAAATTAAATTATTATATAAAAAAAAGGAAAACAGCTGTTTGTCTGTTCTTCTCTGGTTTGATTTTTCGGTTAGTGTTAGTTTAGTGTCAGTTTCATAAAAGCGTAGATGATAAGCCATTATTGAATTATTCAATGCTGATTTTGACCCGTTACTCTTATGAGAGGGAAAGAAATCAATGATATAGCCACTTCTTCCCATCATTATAATTGCCACATACAAAAAGTAGAGGTAAAATAAGATGATAGCCTATATATGTTCCACTGCTAAGCAAATGGCTCCTCTGTACAGAGAGTATTAGGCTGTTGTCTACAATGTGATGAGAGATGTGATGTGAGTTAGGCAGACTGCACATGTTTTCAGTTCTTGAGTATATTGATTTGAAAGTGAGCACCAAACACTGAGCTATCTATATTTAAAATGATGTTATAATTATATTTTAGTGATGATGAAATACAAAACACTACAAGTACTAATGTAGTGTTCACTTATATTTTCATTTTGAAAATTAATTGAGCAAAACCATATCAATGCTACGTAATCATCAACATGTACACTTTCAATGCATAAAACAGTGTTTTGTTAAGCATTAATGTTATAATTGCCAAAACATTATTGTACAGCACAGTGCTTTTAATATTTTCAACATATTTTAAAGCATGGTTGTGACTTTATATCACTGCAAGAATAATAAATTTGCTTTGATTGAAACAAACCTGAATTATCCACAAGCCCCGAGAATGGATTTCCGGCCATGCTACTAGCTACATTTAACATTGGCTCTTGAATATCCCGATACATGCGTTGCAATGCGTTATATCCACCTGCAAGTATAACAAATTTATTTAATATTTATTAATTTAACCACAACTCTCTATTTGTAAATGGTAAAAGTAAAATCATCTATAATCTAATTTTCGCTTGTGCATATAAAAGTCATTAAAAGGCAGTCAAGTATGGTGGTAACAAGAAATTTAAGAATAAACATTACAAATGAATTAATTTAATATAATTTATATAAACATCAATAAGATTTAACCAAAAACTGTATATTTTGTCAGATATCCTTATTCATTGATGTTATACTCAATATTAAATTAATATTATCAGTTTACCTGGTATACTTTCAAGATTAGACAGAGCCCGATCATGAGATCTCATGAGCTCTTGAAGCATTGCAGGATTGCGCGCTAGTTCCATTGTCTGACGAAGTAACTCAGGATTATTGAGCATATGGCTGATCTCTGGGTTACGCTGTAATAACAATTTTGTTTTAATTTTTATATCATTGATCTGTGGTAAATGTAAAAGGAAATCTATATTTATAGAAATATCTATAAAAATCTATAAAACCTTAATCTATATTTACATAAATATCGATTTAGTTTTTTCAATAATTTTTTCACATATTAATATTAACCTATATACAGCCTGTTGTTACAACCGCGACAATAAATGAACACATGTCTAACACTAGTTGCCAATAATCATAAAAAATATAAAAGTTGAAAAAATCCATAACTAAAAAAATATTTTCCAAACAAACTAATTAAGTAAAAAAGAAACAAAATTTGTAACATCCTATACAAATACAACGGACTGATTCATATATTCATTGAGTTTTTCATTTGTTGCTAGAGCGTCACATTACAAGCCTCTCCTTCTAACAGTATGTTTTGTCTCTTTTAAAATTCATTCAACCCATTCATATACTTTGTGACCTTTACAAAGGAACATTACGAACATTCCAGTTTTATAAGTAAGGGTGTTCTAAAATTGTTAGTTTTTTTAAAAATTTTATAACTCTGTAAATATTGATGTTGAAAGAATGTAAATGTTTAATACAATTTAAAAAAGTTATCCTCTATATGTGTTCATTTATTGCCATGGTTGTAGCGACTCGTGTAGAAACATGTCTAACATGGAAGTATAAATATTGGGTACTTACAGACATCAAGTCTTGCATTTGGGGATTTGAAGTAATAAGTGTGCGCATATTCTCTGGATCATTCATCATTTGTTGCACTAGAGGGTTGTCTAACACTTGCCTCAACATGTCAGGATTAGATAACAACTCCTGTTGCATTCTTGCCTAAAATAAACATATGATATTTGTAATACAGCAAAAAAATGAAATATCAGGTAAAATATATATTAACAAGTAAAATATTTATATCTCAAATGTGTTTTATATTGAAATGATGGCAAACATTAATTTTATTAACTCAAATCTATCACAGTACCTGTAAATCCATAAAAGTACTCTGACCTAAGCCAAGACTTTCTAAGCCAGCAAGACCACCAAGAGAATTTAATCCAAATGGAGTGGCACCTATGTCAGCTGTAAGAGGTATTGTTATCCTTAGTTTTTTCCAGCAAAACTTTAAGCACAATGTTAATTTTGTATACTTTTTCATATTTATATATGAAACAAAACATTAATTACAATTAGTATATTCACTTTTTTTATGACAGACAATAACAAATAGATGTACCACAACATTTGTGGAAAATGGATATGTATTGCCAAAAATCATATTAAAAGGTGAAATCCTTCCGGCTATATAGCATTGAGCAAGACATTACAAATGAGGCGCGTGGGAACAAAAACTGATAAATCATATTTTGGCAGATTTTATTTTAATAATGGAAATTTGTAGTTTACACACAAATCTATATATATCTTGTACCAAATCTATTTATAAATGAGTAAATCATCTTCAAAAACTTTCTCTAAACCCACTGATCTGAACATAAACCAATAAATCAATTGAATTGTTTCATAATTGGAACATACACCGACAAATCCTTAGAAATTTTCATGGGTTATGCATAAGGTTGGTTAAAAACCGACATATCCCTTTCCAAACATTTATAGGAATATATAATCAATATTGGATTTTAAAGAATGTTAAATGTCTAGAAACATTTTATAAAAAACTAGAAGGAATGCGAGATTTAAAACGAATACATCAAAAAAATATGATGTTATTCAAGGACAAGGATCAAGGAGACAAGCTAAACCTCTGTATGAGGTGAAAGCGTTGTGAAATTTTAGTATAGAGTCTATTTAAAGTAGGCAGAAGAAGAAGGCTGAGAGGAAGAGGAAACTTTTAAAGAATAGAATTACTGAGTGAAATTTACACTGAACATGTTGATGAAACAGAAGCTCATGATATCCATGATACTGATTCTGAATGTGACTGTGCCGAAACAAGAATGTCCCCAATAATTTAATCTTTTTATTATTACGTAAATAAAATTAAACAATGTGGTTTTTGAATAAAGTTTCATAGTTATTTTATTTAAAATGATAATTTGTTTAAACAAATAGGGATAAATTCATTTTATTTTAATTTCTTATCACATACTGCACACATAAATCTTAAAATTGGTTACACTATATAAACAAGTAAACTTTGTTCAGTAGTTAAGTAGACTTGTTAAGTAGACAAGACCAAATAAATGATCACATTATCATTAGTTACTCATTTCACTTTTTAGAGGTCTGAGGAGCCACCTCATTCATGCAACAGCAAAAGCTGCACTGTGGTTCTCCCACAGTAGTGCTAACAGGGAGTCATTGACAATTTCACAGTAACTTGAACAATACATTGTAGCTTATTTTGTGATTGGTACAATATCAGTACAATAAGATTTTTTTATTGATGAACAGGCAAATGAGCACACAATTTACCTCATTTTAAGCAATAACTGTCACTCATGGACATTTGCAAAACTGATGTAAAACAATTTAAAAAAAAAGTTTTCTAATTATTGACCTAGACATTAGACTAATATATAAAGTACAACCTGAAGACATCAAGGCACCATGGAATGATTGATAAAATTTCAATAATTAAGTTTCAAAAACAAATATGAATTCATTAAAGTTTTATGATTTTGAGTGCGAAGAAATGAGATCTAAAGATTTTAAAATGTTTCATTTGTAATGAAGAAGAGAAATCAAGAATTATTATAGTAAAAAAGAATTAAAACCAAATCCCATTGCAAATACTGTAATTAGGTATTAAATAATAATAGGCAAACTCATCAACTAAAAGTATATTTTATAACTTTTATTAATTCAACAGACATTGCTGAATTTGATTTTTTCTAGGGTAAATATTCCGAACAGTATGTCTCGTTTTTCAAGCTAGAAAAAATTTTTAATCGATAGAGAAATGTTAATAATTAAATATTACATACGTGAAAACCAAGGCAAACACTTACTTTTAATAAAAAAAAATATTTCAAACTTGTTATTTTCACTAAATAAATCTGCCATTTTGTGTTTGACAACATGTATAAATTTAAGAATTCACTCACTTTTCCACATTATAACCTTCGCATTATTAAAAAAGAGTTTTTAAAAATACTAAAAGTACTGTTACACTAAAGTTTTCTGGGTGGTCATAAAAAAAAAGACCTAACATCGAAGGTTAAGGCGGGAGCAAAGCTTAACCTTCTAACCTAACCTATCCGAGTCGGATCGCTCTGTGTCGGATCTGTGACTCATTTTGAACCTAATATTCGAGACATTAAGTGTACCCTAAGTCACAAATTTTAAATATTAGAATTTGTTAATAATACATGTTCATGAAGTAGAAACTTGTGTTTTTGTGATATATCCGTGTATTTGTTTCTTCTTACAACGTAAAAAGCGAAAACGTAAGTTTTTAAATTAAAATATTAGTCTGTAATGAATAATGGACGCACAGTAATGACGGATTTCAGTTGTATGAAATTTAAAAACTTTGTTAATTTTTTCCTCATAATCTAGTGGTTTTCATTGATTATAACTTATATAATATTTAATTATTAACATTTCTCTATCGATTAAAATTTTTTTCTAGCTTGAAAAACGAGACGTACTATTCGGAATATTAGCCTTTTCTAGTAATTTCTTCGACTTAGAATATGGGTGTAATCAAAAATATAGCACAAAATAAAATATTTAGACTGGATACCTGGCGGGCGGCGAGTACCTCCTTCAGGTTCCGGTCTTGGAGGTGTCTTGATTACAAGATGTATAGTCAACCCATCCTTGATATTATGTTGTTTCAAAGTATCACTATCATTCATTATTTTTCCAGCAAATATGAGACATAATTGTTCAGACTCAGCGTTGAATTTAGGAGACAGTACATCCTTAAGCTAAAAAATTAAGATGATTTAAACTCTCTGAAGGTGATTAAAACAAGTGTCACTGATTGCGTGTGCAATATCTATGTTATTACGCCATTTATCATAGGTTCAAAGGCGTCGTACATACTTTTTTAATGTCAGCATCTTCCTCAATTTCAACTTGTTGTTTCTCCTTTGGAGTTTTTACTGTAATTGTTATCTTTTTCGGTTCTTCTTGGCCTTCTGCCATTTTACCCAATATCGATGACTATGTACTTTACAAGAACAGCAAAATTATGTAGCACTATAATTTGACGATAAAAGCGCCTGACCACAGACTGAAAATGTTACAAGAGTAGTGAAATCCGTTTCAAGGAAAAATACTTTATATTATATCAAATAATCCGTAAATAAAAAAAAAGTATAGTCAAATATTGTGGGAGCCGTAGGACGTTTTAATAATACAAGTTTATTTTAATTATTTAGATTGCATATTTGTTACAGATTCTAACAAAAGTATGTGGTTTGCTCGAAACCAGAGTTGATTTAAGAGTTTAAGACTAACTTTTGATAGGGTGGATTAGCGGCTATAGCAATTAATTAAAACGTAAATAATACTTGAAAACATTGTGTTTACTTGTATATGAGAAAATATAATTAGTTGCTATAGCCGCTACTCCACCCTATCAGTGGTACCTACCAGAGCGTGGTTGGATGAATATCTAGTGGCAAATGGAAGAAGCATATTTAAAACAGGAAGTAAATGAGAAAATAAACATTTTAAAATGAGCTCGAGTATCAGAAGCATAGAACTGTTGACAAAATCAAATTACGATACCTGGTGCTTACAAGCACAGGCGATTCTCATTAGATACGTTTTGTGGGAATACGCTAGTGGTGAAAAAACGTTAACGGCAACTGCGACTGCCGAACAAAAGAGTTCCTAAAGGAAGACTTAAAGGCAAGGTCAGAGCTACTTTTACTTATATCTCCACCAGAACTTAAACAAATTAAAGGGTGTAATACATCCAAGGAGGTATGGGACAAACTAAAGTCTGTACATCAAAATTCAGGGCCGGCAAGAAGGCTACGCTATTAAAAGTAAAGTAACAGCCTATACATGTCCCACTGCTGGGCAAAAGGCCTCCTCTATACAGAGGGTATCAGGGCATAGTCCACCACGTAGCCCCACTGCGGATTGGCGGACTTCACATATCTTCGAAATATATATATTTTTTGTTATTATTTCGAAAATCTGCAGGTTTCCTCACGATGTTTTCTTTCACCGCGGAGCACGTGATAAGTCAGCACTTAAAGTTAAAAACTTCATTGGAGCTGGCACATGGGATCGAACTCAGGTTGCTAGAGTACATTGAATTAAAGGCGAGCGCCCGGACACTGAGCTATCACGGCTTTATAGCTATTACGGCTCTATCTATGCGCTATTAAGGCAACTAAAATTGAAGAAAATAACTCCACAAAAAGACGTGAGAGACCATCTCAGTAATTTTCTCGATGTAGTAGGTAAATTAAAAGACATGGATATCAAAATTCATCCAGAGTTATTATGTTGTAGCCTAGCAACAGTGTGTTGATAGTTATGTCACTTAACTAAGCGGAAAATATAAAGTCGTTTCATAAATACAATTATTTTATTCGTAGACTGATAATATTACGTTCCATTAGCGCTAATCGCATTCTGCTATATCAGGTTATGGGCTGTTAGTTGTTAAAATGGAAACTATTTCTGCAAAAGTGAACATCGGTCTGCTAGAAGGTAAAAGTAATTGGGAAACATGGAGGTACAAAGTTTCTATTTTATTACGAGGCACAGAACGTGCAATGGAGGTAATAGATGGAAAATATACCAAGCCCGTGTTGCTAGAAGGCGCAGGTGACGCACAAATTTCTGCATATGACTCGGCTTTAGCGAAATTCATGAAGGCAGAAAGCAGCGCTCTGTTGATCCTTACCACCAATATGAACGACGAAACCTTAAAGAAAGTGATGAGATTCAATACACCTCGAGAAGTTTGGCAGGAACTACACAGTTTGTTCGACGGCAGTTGTGAAGATAAGTCCTATGATTTATGCATGAAATTCTTTGGAGCTAAACGAGATCCATCAGACGACGTAGCAAGTCACATGTCGAAACTGAAGAATATCTGGAACGATTTAAATATCGAAATTGTTAAAGATAAATCTATCGAGTTACCGGAATTGCTACTTGTGTGTAAAATCTTAGATACTCTGAGTGAAGAATATTTTGCATTCCGCAGCAGTTGGCTTGTAATGTCGAAAACTGAGAGGACTGTAGAGACCCTGACTACTCATCTATGTGCTTATGAGAGAGCTTTGTCAAATAAAAAGTTACTTGATCAGGAAGTTTTATCAGCAAGCACTTCTAATAAGTATAAGAAGTTGAAGATAAGAAATTGAAGTGCAATTATTGTCATGAGGTAGGACACCGTGTAAGAGATTGTGCTAAATGGATCCAAGACGGAAAACCACCCAAGAATACCACTTCAAAATTCTCTCATCCTACAAATCAAGGTGCAAACATGTTATTGATGTCAATTAATACACAAACATTTGCGATTGAATGTGACAAAGAAAACTGGTTTATTGACAACGGAGCGACCAGCCATATCACAAACAGAAAAGATCTATTCGTGACATTCAAACCTTTTGATGTGACCCATCAAGTAACTACTGCTGATGGAAACACCATATGTGCTAAAGGAAAAGGATCTATCATCATTAAGTCGAACACGAATACGATTACTCTACAAGATGTGTGGTACGTTCCAGAGATCAAGAAAAACTTATTTTCAGTACTAGCGGCACATGATAGCAATCCAAATATAGTGTTCACGTCGAGGATGGACATGTGTGAGATGAGCATCAAAGGCAATGTTTGTTTAATTGGAAGGCGGTGTCACGGAGGCGGTCTGTACAAGTTAGATGTTCAGAATGTCCAACCAGCTCAACCAATCGAAGTATGCCTGTCTACAGCCACTTTACAACTGTACCATGAAAGACTTGGACATCAAAATAAGAGGCATGTCAAGGCAGTTATCAAGAGAGAGTTAGATATCGATCTACCTTTGGATAAAGATACGTGTGAAGGCTGCGTTTATGGGAAAGCTCATAGATTAAAGTTCAGTACGAGAACGAGAGCAACCGAACCTGGAGAATTAATCCACACTGACGTCTGTGGACCATTTAAAGAAAGCTGTACCAAGTTTCAATATTATGTACTTTTTAAAGACGACTACTCTAGCTATCGAATGGTTTATTTCATGCGCAATAAGAATGAAGTTAAAGACAAACTTGAAATTATGATTCAGTCGGTCAAAACTCAAGGCCATACAATTAAAACTATTCTGAGCGATAACGGAGGAGAGTTCGATAACACAAGTGTCAAACATATTTTAGATAAACATGGTATCAAGCAAAGGTTGGTTATGCCTTATACCCCACAGCAAAATGGGTGTAGTGAGCGAGAAAACCGAACTCTTGTTGAAACTGGAAGATCACTTATGTACGCGCACGAGCCACTTCCACAAGAACTATGGACTGAAATGATAAACACATCGGCCTATATACTAAATCGAACAGGTGCATCAAGAGTAGAATGCAAGAGCCCTTTCGAAGTCTGGTTTGGAAAAAAACCGAACATAAAACATCTCAGAATAATAGGGAGCAGATGTTTTGTACACATTCCAAAACAAAAACGGAAAAAAAAATGGACAAGAAAGCCATTAAAGGATATCTTATCGGATATGATGAAGACGGCTACAGAGTTTGGATTACCGACGGCAAGAAAAATCGTCTTTTTCGGTCGAGAGACGTCATCTTCGATGAATCACCTCTATCATCAGAAGATGCAAAGACTGAGACAGGTAATGAAAACGTGATAAATGAATTTCAACTGAAAGTGTCACAGGATTGCAATACTTCTAGAGATGAAATCATAGTGGAACGTACAGTTGAAGATGATATACATTCAACAGAGCCAGTGGAACTTACAAATGACGACATAGAACCTATTGAGCCAGAGAGAGAAGCCCAAGTGGAAACTGATAATGTCTATGATCCGTTGCCAGAAGAACCAAGAGAAATCGCTTGAATTAGAGAGAGAAGATTGTGATGAAGATAGTAATATCAGAGATGACGAGTTTCATGATAGTATCGACCAAAGTCAAGAACAGAGGTATGATCTGCGTGATCGATCTTCACTCAAAAGACCAGAAAAATTCAACGATTATGTTACATCATTAAACCATGTATTATGCGAACAACCCTCAACTTTTAAACAGGCTATTAAAAGTAACAATAAAGAAAAGTGGTTGTCTGCAATGAAGGCAGAGCTATCATCTTTAAAGGAGCGTGATACTAAGGATGGTAAGAGTCCACTCTTCAAAATTTACCAGCCAATAAGAAATGCATACCATGCAAGTGAACGCTACAAGGCACGCTTAGTAGCGAAGGGATTTCGACAGCAAGAAGGCATCGATTATCAAGACACGTTTAGCCCAGTAGCAAGAATGGCTACTATTCGTTCCCTTTTAAGCGTTGCTGCATCAGAAAATCTTTACCTTGTACAGTTTGATGTAACGACAGCATTTTTATACGGAAAAATAACAGAAGAGGTATATATGAAACAACCCGAAGGCTTTGAAGATGGCACAGAGAGAGTTTGTCGCCTTAATCGGAGTCTTTACGGTTTGAAACAAGCGCCACGATGTTGGAATCACTGTTTTCATGAAATTCTAATAGAACTAGGATTTAAACAAAGTTGTGCAGATACATGTCTATACATAAAGAGACAAGGAGACAAGAAACTCTTATTATCACTTTATGTCGATGACGGTCTCATAGCTGCAACTGATCAAAAGATGGCAGAAGAATTTCTCAATGATCTTAAACAAAGAATAAAGATAACTACGAAATCAGCTTCATTCTATCTGGGTATGGAGATTTCGAAATGTGATGGTTCAATCATACTGAAACAAGAAGCATATACTAAGAAAGTTTTAGAAAGATTTGGAATGATGAATTGTAACCCAATTTCAACCCCTATAGAAAAAGAAACTGTTGAAACAGGGAAAGCTGATAACGATGCTAACTTTCCATATCGAGAAGCAGTTGGAGCATTGGCCTATCTAATGGTTGCGACTCGCCCTGATATTGCTTATGCAGTAGGTATAGTGTCACGAAAGCTCGAAGCACCTACCAAAGCAGATTGGCTTAAAGTTAAAAGGATTATGCGATACCTAAAAGGCACAATTTCGTATGGTATAAAATATAATTCCAATGCAAGTAAGGAATACTTAGATGCTTTTAGTGATGCTGATCACGGAGGAGATCTCAGCACAGGACGCTCAACTACCGGAGTATTGTGTCGTTACGCAGGAGGAGCTTCCGTTTCTATTTCAATAACAGAAGTAGAGCTAGTCGCCGCAAGCGAAGCTGCGAGAGAAATGGTGTGGCTTACAAGGCTATTCAAAGAATTGACCACGCTCAGCTCAGTACCAAATCTAAGCGTCGACAATGAAGCTGCAGTGAAATTAGCTCACAACCCTGAGTTCCATAAGAGAACCAAACATATTCGTTTGCGGCACTTCTTTGTGCGTGAGCAAGTAGCAAAAAATGTAATAGAAGTTAGAAGAGTGAGTTCCTCTGAAAAATCGCGGATATTCTCACGAAACCACTTCCAAGGGTAATATTTACGCATCTCAGAGGAGAGCTCGGCTTAGTTAACTGAGGGAAAGTGTAGCCTAGCAACAGTGTGTTGATAGTTATGTCACTTAACTAAGCGGAAAATATAAAGTCGTTTCATAAATACAATTATTTTATTCGTAGACTGATAATATTACGTTCCATTAGCGCTAATCGCATTCTGCTATATCATATTAAGCATTATGATTTTGTACAGTTAACCTACAAATTTCGATAGCTTCCGAACGGCAATTGAGTCGAGAGATGTTCTGCCAAGTCCTGACAATTTATAAATAAAAATCGTAGAAGAATACGAAGCAAGAAGGCAAACCGAATCGAGTGAACCTCAGACTTCAGAAGCATTCTACACAAAGACGAAGAAAAAGGTACAATTTTGCAATGATTGCAATAAGAAAGGGCATTCCACAGAAGCTTGTTGGTCAAAGAAGATACCCAATAACCCCAATAAAACTAAAGGTCAAGCAAAGACATACTACATCGGTTTAACAACAGGAACGTCGAAATGTAAAGGCAATTTATGGTGTCTTGACAGTGGCAGTACGTCACATATGACGGGTGATAAAAGTATACTCGATAATTTAATCCCCGCGACTGACACTCTAAAGCTTGCTTCAAAAAAGCATACGACCGAAGAAGTTAACGGGAAAGGAAAAGCCGAATTTTATACAAAGGATCGACGCTTTAAAATTAGTCTTTGTGACACATTATAATGTATCTGATTTATCGACGATTATACAAGATACTGCTGTGTATATTTTAAAAAGAAAAGAACGAATTAATCGATAAATTCAAGGAATATAAAAACTATGTTGAACTGTTTTATAAGAAGAAAATTTAAAATCTACAATCTGATAATGGAGGCGAATACAGGTCTAAAGCGTTTGACAAATTCCTCAAAGATAACGGTATAAGCCGAAGACTATCTGCACCTTATACCCAATAGCAAAATGGCATGAGTGAAAGACAAAATCAGTTGCTGATGGATAAAGCCAGATGTCTAATGCTAGATGCCAATATCCCTGCAAAATTTTGGGCAGAAGCAGTAAACACTGCAAACTATTTGATAAATAGAAGCCCAGCAAGAGCTCTCAAAGATAATTCCCCATATGAGAAATGGGTACAAAGAACACCATCAGGAAATCACCTACACGTATTCGGAGTGTTTGTGATGAACAAAAACCGAAGAGGAAAATTCACAGCCAAAGCCACAGAAGGAATATTCTTGGGATATGCAGAATATACAAAAAGTTTTAGAATCTATATACCCTATCAGTGGTAGCAGAGCGTGGTTGTAGTAGACAGGTACAGTAAACTTCCCACTGCTTCCCTATAGGGATATTCCTTCTCCTGGGCAGTTTCCTGTATCGACTTTGAATCGCTATTTGCGGGCGTGTCACAAGGTTTGGCATTTTTAATGTTGTATTTTTCCAGTACGTCATTTATGTAGGATCTCTGAGTAATTATTTCTTCTTTTGAATTTTTTTTCCATACTTGATTCCAGATAAGTACTTGGATTTTCATTCTTTTTCATTTCAAATTTTTCTTTCAAGTTTCTTCAAAATAACTTCGATCTTTTTCTTGTCTTTTCCTATGACAAGTCCGTCATCAACGAATAGTGCGATTATTATTGACTTATCTTCGTTTATGAATATGAATCCCAAATCAAACATCGCTTGGGTAAAAGTTTTGTTGCATGTAAATAGAGCTTTTTCTAATCCGTACAACGATTTTTTCAACTCAACACATAGCCAACAGGTAATTTTATATAAACTTCATCTGTTAACTCTCCGTATAAGAAAGCTGTCTTGACGTCACGTCAAATGTCATGAAGTAGTAAGATTTAGATGCGGTAATTGCTAATAAAGTTTTAAATGCAGATTGATAAGTCAATCACAAAGACATTTATAGCACAGTAGTAAGCTACTGTAAGCTATAAATGTCTTGGAAATCCAGGTTTCCTTTCTGCTTCACGTATTATTCTGTATTCACGTACAACTAATCTAGCCTTGTACGTAACGTCATCTTTAATCCGAAATACCCATTTGTTCGACAGTATTTTGTGTCCTTTGGCTTCTGACTTGTCAACTAATACCCAGGTGCTATTTTTCTGTAATGATTCCATTTCAGATTTATCGCCTTCTCCCAATTTCATCTGTCGGTGCCAGTCACAGCTTCTTTGTAAGTGAGTAAAGAGCAATCATAGTCGTCATTATTTTCTGACGTAAACATGGTCACGCAGCGACTTAACTCATAATCTTTGAATTGAAGCAGTGGGAAGTTTACTGTACCTGTCTACCAGAATCAGACCAGATATCGCACAAGCAATCAATCTAGTAAGCAGGAAGGTTGAAAACCCCACTAGAGAAGACGTCGCAAAAGTCAAGAAAATATTCAAATATTTAGTAGGAACCAAAGATAAAGGCATTTTGTTCAAACGAAACGATTTATGCTGGAGACCCATTGACGCGAAGAAGCACTTCTGGCTCCGTGCTAATGATAGCCGATGGACCAATATTATGGGCATCCAAGAGGCAGCCTATAGTACCGCTATCGTCGACTGAAGCAGCAGACTGCTGCTGTTGCAAAGAGGCGTTTTATCTCAAATTTCTGTTACAAGAAATAACCGGTTTAGACCTAAAAATAAATTTGCATGTTGATAATCAAAGTTCGATTCAACTTGTGAAGTCTGGATCCTTCAACAAAAGGTGCACATGACGTGCGGTACCATTTTATACATGAACACTTCGTGCATGAAGCACTTCGTTAGCTGACGTAATGACAAAACCATTGTCAAAAGTAAAGTTTGAAAGACACTGTGCAAGATTAATGCATGTATAGAAACGTGTCTCGGCAACATAAGTGAACATCAGGAGAAGGTGTTGGAAGGTCGTGATGCTGTCCACGTATACTTGTCTATGAAGCACTGCATTTGAATTTGTATTTTGTTCTTTTACTTTTGATGCGCGATGTCATTATGTATAATATTTTCTCATATACAAGTAAACACAATATTTTCAAGTATTATTTACGTTTTAATTAATTGCTATAGCCGCTAGTCCACTCTATCAACTTTAAGCTTCTACTACTCTTAATACTAACATGAAATGGGACCACACCCGAGGGTTACAGATGCGTTGACAACCTTTTGAAAATTGGGCTCCGGATCTACTTTAGTAATAATAATAAATTAATAAAATTAATTAATTAATTATTATTATAATTTTAATAATTAGCCTATAACAGGTATACTACGCGCATGCGTTCGAGTGCTACGCATTCACTCTCACTCTGTCCCTTTCTTTCCCCGTTCCCGGGAGCGTTGAACAGTGCTCTCATACCTCCTCCATGGTATCATTAAACGTTTAACGCAACCTTGTTGGAAGTCGCATAAGAAGTTTCACTTAACAAAAAGTTAAGACATGTCGACATAACCCTAGTTATGATTTTTTGCCTGCACTAAACGTAACGCAAAAAAATACGTGAAAAGGGTGAAGCGGTTGAAGAAGACGGCTTCGACGAACGTTAAGGCTGTTGCGACAGAAAGTGCACCCGTGAGGATCCAAATTTATGTTCTGGGCAATAGAATATCCTGTGTACTATCATGGGTGTCTGGAAGATCCGCGGCAGTAACTGGTCGCAGAGGGGCATTCTGCCCCGCCCCGGCACCTAATGGCATTGCACGGGCGAAACCTCCGAAGGTAGCGCGCCCAACTCTGGCTCTTTACTGTAGCACACTACCCGTATAGCACTCTGCACGACCGTTCGGTCCTAAGAAATATCGACGCCGATATTTCAACTATCTGCGAACTATTTATATTGGACACGTTATTGTAATCCTTAGAGAAAGTGCCTTCTGGTAGCGATCGATCACTTGATTGAAAGACGATTGAGTGATCGATGCGATTAAACAATTCAAAGTTTAAATAGCTCCCACAAATCGGTCAGACAGAATAAAACCGGTCGTCATTCACCGGCGATACGGTAAAACTCCGGTAGATGTCTTTTCGCCTTCTTCAACGCCAACTCCTTCAAAAGAAGTAATAGGGACGGCATTAAAGAGTTTTTTTTATGATTTCAACCGATGCGCTTCAAACTTAACTTCCTCCGACCAGGCTGCCATCTCATCGTAGTGGAGAGGCTTAGTAGCCTTGGCTTGGTCACCCACTGCGAAGTCAAGAGAAACCTATACTTGGCAGGCCTGTGCTGTAAGAGTGACCTGAGAGGGCCGCTTTAAGTAATAAGCTCATTGAGCCCACTTTAGATGCATGCTAGGAGAGTGCGAGGAACAGTTGAGGGTGCTAGAGGTGGAGCACTACATACTGTACTTTTCCTCTGCAACCCAGGAGGAGTTTTGGTGGAAAAGGAGTGTTGGTATTAGGTTTGACCACTCACCCTATCCTCCGTGACTCGGCGGGGTTGTACCTCTGATGCAGAAGTGGTGGGGCTGTGGAAGGGGAGGAATATCGGTGTTGCGATGTGCCATTCTCCCTACCCTCTGCAGCTGAAGTGTGGTGAGCAGTGAAGTCACGGACCAAGCGCACCGCTATTTGGAAAGGTAGTAAGTGAGCTCGTAGTTCACTGGGTAGTAAATGATAATCGGTGCCCTTAGACATCTGTAACACCCGTAGGGTTACAGACACGTTGCCGCACTCACTAGACAAAACACAAAAGTATTCCACTTCAAACTTCACGTCGGTTTTCTTTAGGCTTATTTTGGAGTCTACCCGTGCAAACGGGCCTAGTACGAAGACGATCTCTATGAATGCGAGAAGGGTAGCTTTGTTTTTTTTGTAGGACCATTTAGGTCAGTGTAGCAGGATCGGGGATATGTGTAAAAGCTTACATGTAGCCCTAGTAACCTAGTTTACAGCAATTCTAAATGTCTATCTACATATATCTATATTCTGTAAAAGTTTTTAGCGAATTGAACTGTGACCACTGGCTGGTCAATTTGCTGTTAGGCCAGCCAGGCACAACAGACTCTACGACCTAGATCGTGACCGAATAGGTACGAATAGGTAATAATTTCAGTATATATGTCTTATCTATGAGGTACGCGGAGATTCAGTGATGACATCAGCTTCGTTGTTCTCTACGGTATCGACCCAAGTCGTCTGCCAACGGAACGGACTCTTTCGGCCAAGCTGTTAAAATGGATGTTAGGCAACACTGTTTACCTGTTACAAGTTATGAAGTTACAGAACAGATTATGAACTGAAAGTGAAATGTCAAATTTTGAATTGCGATCAGTTTCGTGTTGTCGTGTATTTTCGGGAGTTGTTTTTGCTAAATTCGCTATCTAATATTTAAAATGCATTATGAATTTTAACTTAAGCGGCAGTACAGTTTATATATAATCACAAATATCATGATGTGTTGTTTTTGAATGTATTTGAAATAAAACATCATGATAGAACCGACTTTACGTTACGAGAAGATAGATTTTCTAGGAGAGGGACAGGTAAATTTAAATTACTATTTTTACTCAAAATTATATTTATTTATTCCCCGTAGAACTTTATGTATTTTTTGTTTCAAGACTTTTCTTATATGTGTTATTTTTTTCAGTTTGCTACCGTATATAAAGCCAGAGATGTGAAGACTGATAAAATCGTGGCTGTCAAAAAAATTAAAATTGGTTCTAGGCTTGAAGCTCAGGATGGTATTAACCGGACTGCTCTTAGGGAGATAAAGTTATTACAGGAGTTACAGCATATAAACCTCATTGGGTTATTAGGTTATTATAATATTATTACTTATTCTACTAAAATTAGATATTATTAGATGTAATTAGATATTATTTAGAATTCAATTCATTATAAAATTTACGATAACAGCTATTTGAATTGAGTAGAAAACTCAAAAATATTTATATTTTGTGAACTCCATCATATTCATTCATACATATTTGTAATCTCCCAAGTCTTGATTTTTTTTTATGACTTAAAGAAAACAGAAGTTTTCATTATAGCATTGTAAAATTATAATAAGGCTATGTTTTAGTAAAATTATATAGTTTTAAGTTATTTACTGCCCTTAACTTTCCAGATGTATTTGGACAAAAGTCAAATGTTTCACTCGTGTTTGACTTCATGGACACTGACTTAGAGATGATTGTTAAGGACAACAATATTGTACTTACTCCTGCAAATGTCAAAGCTTATATGATTATGACTCTGAAAGGTACAAAACAACTTTTAATTTAAAACAAAAAAGCTCTTGCATATTTTGATACTTATCAATAGATTATTGATGTTCCACATTTCACTGAGTTAATTTAATGCCATATTAGCTATAATATATTATATAATTATATACCGAGATCAAATATAAAATTGCTATTTTTGTATGCCAGATACCTAAAAATCTGTAAACTCATTAGCGCATTTTAATATGCAATATTAATATCACAACTTGTGACCTCCCAGTCACTCATTCATCATCAGCCTTTATTTATTTTTATGTGTTTTATTCATAGTAATAATTTGACCTCCATGATCCATCTGTAAATCTGATTACTAGGTAGCTAGTGGCTGGGAAACCAATCAGGCTATCTTTCACATGCTCTCATCTCAATACCTTACATTTTATAACTCCAGTCTTGTGTTAAATAAAATAGAAGCAAGACAAAGAACATTAAAGGGACAAAAAAAAATATTAACATTATTCAATTATGTTAACCGTTATGTCAAAAGTATTATAGATTAGCAACCTTCATGTACCATCCTAATCCTTTCTTATTTGCGCATTATTTAGATACCTTTTAATATTTTCTTTTTCCACAAGTCATGTGGTAATGTTTTTTATGCTCCTTCAATATTTTAACTTACAATTTCCTTGTAGGGGATTTCAAATTCAAGTTGCTAAACTAATAATAAGCACAAAGCTTGATCAGATATATTATTTTATTAAATATGTTCTTATGTTTTAGGTTTGGAATATCTACACCAAAATTGGATACTACACAGAGATCTGAAACCTAACAATTTACTTATAAACCGGGAAGGTATTCTAAAGATTGGGGATTTTGGTCTTGCAAAAGCATTCGGCTCACCAACTAGAATAAACACTCATCAAGTAGTGACAAGATGGTACAGGTAATTAATTTTATTTATATGATATAAAAATTGAGAATATATGCATGTATTGGGAAAGGGGATCATGAGTATGAAATCATTAGTAATAACTAATCTTAGCTTTTTTATTCTTTCTCCTGCGTATATCTCACCTTGGTCGGGTCAAAACATGTGAATAATGTTGTTAATGATATTGGCTAGGGTATGATAATTATTTTTTACTACCATTTGCCTCCCTGAGATCGACTCTCTTTGGAAACAAGCACCCACATCCAAAACAATTATTTGCTGGTCACACAAATAGATGTCCCATGTGGGAATCGAACTCATGACACCCGCCGCCGAAGCTAATGCCTGGCAACTGTGCCCCAGAGTCATCATAATTCAATTCAATTTTTAATGTAATGGCTCCATCAAGGATAACATCAAAATTCGACACTCTCTCAACTTAAATTATTGAATACTTATGTTTGTGGCAAAAATTTCTATGCAAAGTTACTGGCAGTAATCAAGATCCACGCTCAGGAAGAATCAAGAGCTACATTTTCCGGTGAGGATCGCTTTGTCGTTGTTACCACCAAATAGACTTCTAACATCGCCTGAAATCCGCGCCGCAATGAATAAATCTCGTACAAAACCTGTGTCATCAACTATAGTAAAAAGACGATTGAGAGACGCTATTTTGATATTGACACTAGATTAAATCGCGTTACCGTCCGACAACCTTCGGAAAGGTCACGAATTAAAAAGAAACGAATGCAGTGGGCTCTAAGCCATCAAGGTGATTTGGTGCAAATTGGAGGAATAATGAATTATAACCGCGTATCATGCCCGTTATAATAAAATTTGTATATTTAGGTATTTATATCCTTGAAAAGTTTTTATTAGCCATCGTATCGAATAATGTTCTCATTAAAAGTAGTCGCTCTTCTTCTGCGTCTACCTCGAACGAAAACAGGTGCATGCTATTTATCCGACAACGAAAACCGCACGGATATGACACGCGGATGATACAGAGATGATATGCGGAGGCTCCGGTCACAAAGCCGTTACTCACGGGTATGATGTGCATTTGATGCGCTCTAGTGGGGATAGCAGAGCGTATCGTGTTGCTTTCCGATCCTGATGCTTTCATAGTACGGTCATGGTTTGGTAACAATTGTGGGCAGTAGGGGTGGATTTCCCTATAGATAACTTGGTGGGATTTTTTTAGCCGTTGCGCCACTCGCCTCTCGCTCTTCGCGTAGACGATATTCCGTAAAATTTATAATCAATCTATGAGCCATGATGAGTAGGTACCATTTTCCTTTTTTTATTCGTATATTTCATTACATTTTTCGTGCCTAACAGCTAGTACGTGGGTAGAAATCTTGTATATGCCTAGGGCGACCAACGTTTGATCCGATCCATCACCGCAGACTCATTCTCAGAGCAAAATTCTAGTAGTGGTTTAAAATTAATTGGGAATGGATTAATTTTCCAACAAGACAAACGACCTGCAGCATAGTTGAGAGAAATGTTTGAAATAAATATCCCTCATCACAAGAAGTCTACATGAAAGTTGGAACAATATTACTTGTCATAATAGATTGATTGCTCATTACTCGTATGAGTAAAGGAGGTTGTTTCGAGGAAAAGTTTGTTTAACTTATTATGTTCATTTTTTTTATAGTTTAGTGATGTATTAAGTTTTTAATTTTATCTGTAGATTCTTATTTTGAACGGACTTAAAAAATTGAGTTATGCTTTTTGTTTTTCTTAGTAAGCATTTACTTATGATGTAACAACAACTAATTCAAATAGTTTAATATCTTGCGTTTTTTTTTCATTTTCCTACTTCAATTCCGATTGTTTATTGCTAGCAGTTTAGTTTTTTTTACAACTGACAGATCTCCTGAGCTGCTGTTCGGTGCACGGCAATACGGAACTGGAGTGGATATGTGGGCGATTGGATGCATTTTAGCAGAGTTGCTGCTCAGGGTACCATTCCTGCCTGGGGAGTCGGATCTGGACCAGCTCTCTCGTATTTTTCAGGTGTTTGGCACGCCTACTGAAGAGACTTGGCCAGTGAGTGTTAATCTATAGCTGCACAATATTACTGCTTGTTTTTTTATTTCTTACTAGATAATACTTGGCTAGCTTTTGTGCCAGACTTATTTAATTTTTTATTACTATCTTTAAGCCCCCTCCAATTCAGAGTCCATTACTTTTTGAAACAGTTGTATTTATTTCTTATACTTCCAAATTTTTCTGTAGTAAAGTTTTATTTTACACTACATTGCTATTGAAGTATACCATAAATTTCCAGGGCATGAAAAGTCTTACGGACTATGTGCAATTCAAGCAGTTTCCGCCACAACAATTGCGTCATATATTCAGCGCGGCCTCCGATGATCTGTTGCAACTACTGGAGAGTCTTCTCGCGCTTTATCCGCCAAATAGATGTGACTGCACTCAAGCATTGCAGATGTCGTACTTCAGGTATTGTATAATACTTACAAACTAGTGGTCGCCTAAGGTGGTCGAAATTTGACCATATATAATTATACATGGTATGTATATGTATGTGTTGATTTAATGTAAAAACATTAAATCAATAAAAAATACATTACACACACATTACACATGCCATGTAAAACAGATTAAATCAATTAAAAAAAAACATGCATAATTTTAAAAAATATTAGCATTCTGCACACCTTCTCGACATGCGAAATTCCATACTCCTATACTTAGAAACTTATAAATTACATCTGTCTGCATCGAGCGATTGATCTTTTGCATACTGTTCAAAATTGTTAATACTGCGTAAAAACTTCGTCAATTCCTAGCGGGTTAATCAGTTCTGAAATTTAATTTCATTGTTATACCTATACTTTAAAAGGGACCCATTTATTAATGATTTTTTAATTCAAGTATCTATAAATAAATTAATATAAATTATGAGTTGTGAAAGAAATAGAAAAAAAATCTATTTCTATATTCACTATGTGAATAAATATATTTTTGATTTTGATTTTTGATTATATAGTGTCATGATTACAATTTTATACTGTTATGATTGACTGCGCAAAAAATACGCAACAGATCACAGCGCGTTGTCACTGTAAAAATAACGACATTTCGTATTAATTTTTTTATGAAAACACCCAAGATGCTTTGCTGCAATCACAGAAAATCTTATTGTGATTATCATGCTATTCGTTTCGACCACAACACATTGTGGAGAAGAAGAAAACCAGTGACGGTATCCGCGGATGTAAAACTATACAAGTATACTGTCATTTATTTCATTTGATTAAGTAATAGAATAGATAAACTCATGATACCAATGAATGTAGTCAGTATTGTAGTAAAAAAATAAATTCTCGTTACAAATATTCATCGTTGAATGTTATTTATAAGATGTTGTATGCTGTAAAGGATACATGTCGAGATTTTCACGCCGTCAGGTCTTCGGCCGTTTAGCTTAGTTGGCCGTTTAGTTAAAACGTCTCGCGAAATCAGAAGACGTAGGTTCAAATCCCGCAGCGACGAAAGTTGTTCGTTTATCTAAAAAAAATTACAAATTAAACTATATTTACGGATTAATCGTGTTTATTTATATATTATTTTTTAATTTTTATTTCCCAACGTATCGTAGCCTTCAGCGTTCATATTCACGGGACAGACGTTGGACGTCTGAATAATTGTGAACCTGGGCTTTTAAAATAAACGCGATAAATCCCTAAATATAGTTTAATTTAATAACGTGTAATCGAGTAAACACAAGAAATTATCATAAAAATTTACAATTAAAAAAAATACATGTCTGTTCACTGCGCGCGTTCGGTATTGCAGTAGCAAGCCCGCCCCGACGGTGGGCAACAAGCTGCCCATGCCGTCGAACATATCGAAAATGGAGACCGAGAAACCTTCGTTGAAGAGGAAGCTGCTAGACAACATTGACGGTGGCTCCCTCGCAAAGAGACTGCAGTTTTGAAAAAGGAACACATACATGTAAATGACACAGTTGTAACTAAAGGCGTCCAGCCAGTGTTATGAGTTTCAATGTGTAAAAAATATTTGACCTAAATATACCATATGAAGCAGGACTTTTTGAATTAACGGACGCAAGAACTAGACTATTTTAAGAAATGTTTAAGGAAAGTAAAATATATTTTGATTTACTAACAAGGAAGTTTTATTTTCTTAATGTGCCATGTTTAAAATAATCGTCAAAGGTTCATATTAAAACATGGAGTGTGGGATTTAAATTCCCTTAATTCAAACAAAGTTATACTATTTTTGAGGGTCTGGAAAAATATAAGTTTTTACGGTGCGCGTGCACACTAACACCCAAAATGTGACATGATGACCAATAACAGCTTTCTGACATTTACCTAGAATTCGAAGTTATAAAATTAAACCGTTATCAAATGCATTTGATGTCTTTTTCACAGGGGATAAAAGTTTTTATTTATTTTTCTTTTGTTACGCTAAAGAAGTATAACTTCTTACGTGCGTACTTATAATTATGTACACACACTGTTTTTAGTTGATATGTCATATGTCATTTTGAAAATATAAACTGAACTGTTTTTTATATTACCTGTGACAGCACGAGAGAGCCTGATTGAAGTTTTATGAACATGAGAGTTGAAATTGCTCGGTGCGCTGTTGCTAAGCCATTGGCTTTACAAATAGCAACATTATTCACATTTTGTGCCGACCCCACCTAAGTGGTAGTTCTTATCTTTCTTATTATGTTATATTATTCTTTATTCTTTTTCTCGTTTTACCTATAATGCCTTTAATTTAATTCAAACCATACATTAGGAATAAAAGGGAATAATGAACAAAAACCGGTCATGTCATATAATTTCATTTTTATTACATTAAAGAACAAAATACGCCCAAAACTTTTACACTACAGTGCTAATAACAAACACAAAAAGCAACCTCATCGCCCGAAAACATCAAAAACAGAGAGCAATTTAAAAAAAAGTTCCCTTAAAAAAACAGTCTTGATTTTGTTAGTCACAGAGAAGTTCTGAAATAATAAAGACGTAATGTTAAAGCATCATCCAGATTCTAGATTAAAGGCCCATTTACACGGTGCAAGTTTCTTGCCTGTAGTATACAATTAAATTGAAGCAATAAATGAGTTGCATGGTCTAAACAGCACATAACATTCTTGCCTGTTGAACAAGACTTGCTTCAAGTTTTGTTTCAAAACTTTCCTTGGTGTAAACAGCACACACAATAATTTCTTAACCAATTCTTGTATTCAATTGCATTTTCTCTTACTTTGCAAAAATTAGTGCAATGAGTGAGGGTATTTAATCATTGCTGTTCTTTTGAGGATAGAAATATTGAGAAAAGGTCGTAAAAAAAGTTGGATAAAAATATGAATAATAGTATATGGATCATAATAAATAAATCTCTCAATGAAATATATTTAATCGGCATAATCTAACTTGATCACTTATTATTGAGCCATTTTTTTTAAAAAAACAGCCCTTTGTAAAACGTTCAACACTTGCATGAAAAATTTGTCAACGCAAATACGTGCAATACTTGAAGCAAAACGCCAATAAATTGTACGCGCACATACAAGCATGTGTTTAGACAAGTCAAAACTTGAAAGCAATAATCGCCTAAACATAATTGCATTGGTGTAAACAAAAGACCTTTGCAATTATTTCCTGTCAAGACTTGCATACAATAATCGCATTCAATTTTTTTTACTATATCTGCGTGTAAACTGTTGCATTCAATTATTGCTCTTGTATGTACAAGAAAATGGCATCGTGTAAATGGGCCTTAACGCACGCCTGCGATTATTCTGGAAACCGCGTATGGACGGCTAAACTAAACGGTTAAACTTAATGGCATAAAGTGAATTACGATTACATCCTAGTGGCACTACAGTCGGTGAAAAATGTTCTATGTTTTTTTCAAACTTCCTTTTGCATCTTAATTTTTCGGAAATGTCTGTAAATTATTCCAACTCTTCTTGAATTATACGGAATAATTTACAGACTTAAGAAGCTAGAAGGAATTGAAAATTGTTTGTATTCTCGACGGCGGCGTGTGTGCAGCTGACGGTAAATGATTACCGCCGCCCATGAACACCTGAAACACCTGAGGGCTCACAAATGCGTTGCCTTTAGGGTTACCAGATGATAACATCGGTATTAGAAGGTAAGGTATTACAAAATATGGTAAAGGAAGATATTTTCTCCTATCGGATACCACCTGGCAACCCTAGCTGCACTGGGCTTATAGAATAGGGCTAAGGGACTCCTGTCTAAGTGGACCTACCGCATAAGGAGACAAAAATAGAACATTCAGTTAATGGGCGATCTAGATGTTGGGGACAATGATCTACTAAACACTCACGGCAACAATACGAAGTGGACTCGTATTAAAGAAGATCAAAGTAATAACATCACACACCCTAACACAATCACCTCACTGTAGGACAGCATTATAATGTACAAACACAAACAAACATGACAACGGGCTTCAACAATCATATACGAGAACTAAATTAAATACCTAATTAAACATACTTGTTTTAAAAAAATATCCCTTAATATTGTAATAGATGATAATGATAAATTATTTCTGGCTACATTATATATTATTAAATTCTGGATGCATTGCATTACCATTTACTGGTTGCGCGGTGCTAAAACGCGATGTGTTGCCAGCAGCAAATATTCTAGGATTAGTGCTTTAGAGTGGGCGCCTGATTACTCGTACGACCGCGGTGTGACAGTCCACGTGTAGCACTGTTAAAATTTTATTTAAACAAAACCGGACTGGCATTATAAGAAACGTAATGTACCATAAGGATAAATAAATTTGATTGATTTTTCTCTAAATGGCTTAGGTAATGTTTATGAACCCTCCGCCACTTGCTTTTTTTATGTGAAAAGTTGCCAAACGGGCAGGTGGTTCACCTGATGTTAAGTGAATACCGCCACCTATGGACATCTGCTACATCCGAGGGTTGCAGATGCGTTGACAACATTTTGAAAATCGGGCACCAGACCTCACTCACCAGACGAAACGCGAAAGTATTATACTTCCACTTTACGCCGGTCTTCCGTGAGGTCGTGGAATTTACCCGGACGAGCCTGCCCATTCGTGCAAGAGCCGAGGCTGCTGCGTGGCCCTACCACAGTTGAAGTTATATAATACCATTTATATAATATACTGATCTCTATGATACACGCTGTAGTTTATTATAAAGTAAAATTTAAAATTTTATAACCTTTAAATAACAATTATGCGATTATTGATTTTTTGAAATATTACTTTAATGATAATTTACGACTTACGTTCATTTAAATTGTTAACGTCTTTCCCTGCTTCCAGTTTTGTTGATGATTTTGCTTTCTTAACGCCAATCTGTACACAAGATTTTTCCTTTCCGATGATGTTCATAATTTATGTTCGATTTTTATTGTTTCTGTTTTTTTTTTTTTTTTATTATTTTGCCGCACACATCTTTTTACACTTTCTGCAGAATAGATAAAATAGTCACTCAATACTACGGCAGAGAAATAAAGTTATATGGATGGCATTATGATTTTTTTAGGTACTACCGCGACCCGCCTCTGCTTCGCACGGTGGAAGTAAAGTAACAGCCTATAAATGGCCCACTGCTGGGCAAAAGCCTCCTCTGTAAAGAGAGTATCAGGGCATAGTCCACCACGCAACCCCACTGCGGATTGGCGGACTTGACATATTTTCGAAATATTTTCTTTTATTATTATTTCGAAAACATGCAGTTTCGTCACGATGTTTTGCTTCACCACCGAGCACTTAAAATTAACAATTTCTTTGGTGCTGGCACCGGGGATCGAACTCAGGTTGCTGGAATAAATGTAATTAAAAGCGAGGTCACGCCTCTTTAGCTCTCAGAAAAAAAACAAAAGAAAATTCTTTCTATCACATAAAAGAAGAAAACCCCGTGCAGTCGAAATTATTATTGACAAACATATTAACAGAAACCAGTTTAACTATATTTTGCCAACCTTGGGAGAGTTGGAGATCGCAGATAGTCTTCCGTAGACGCCATATTTGCGTTCATCTTCGGGTCTCAAGGTTCCCATTTTCTTCATCGCTAAATAGATCTGTAATCAGAGCAGCTTTACCTTTGTAAGGAGTAGGTCTGTCAGTTGTCCTTATTGTTGCACTAACCTATTTTTCTAACACCCCACATGTTAGAAAAATGGGTTAGTGCAACAATAAGGTATAAACTTTGGTTTAGTTTAGAGGAGAATTTTTGATGTAGCCCTCACAGGCATATTGGCGCCCATAGACATTTATCATTTGGGCCGCCAACTAGTATAATTTGTATGCGACTAACTCCGTCAGAGGGCACTATGTTATTTTTTTTATACGAAATTATGGACCATTCGAAACCAGCAACTAGCAAACAATAAATCATTCTGCGTTTTATTCAATATTGTTCTCGAACTATGTTTTACCTATGGTAATTTGGACATTGTTTTAAAAAAGTCATTTTCTTAGTAGATTTTGAAGGTAAGTGCAGATAAGTTGAAAGGTTTCGTGTATTATGGCTTGTTTAATATATTATTTAATACTTTAATTTTGGACCCTTCACATTGTTCGTATTAAAGTTCCAGGGCCATATGTCATATATAACTTTTATATGAATGACAACGTTGTTCGTAAGTCCTGAATGGTAGATGTGGCTAATGGGATCACTTTCAAGCCAAAAAGACTCTTAAGGACTGATAAGAAAACTATTTATTTCAACTTTAACATTTTGAATTTATTTTAGACGAAACGTTATCATTATGGAATTTATATAAAATACAATAGTTATGTTAGATAGCTAGACATGTTACTTCTTTAAGCAATTTTTACGGAATCAATAAATTATGACACCATTCAGTCTGAACAAATAGAACTAACATTCCAAATTTAAAGTAATTCAAACATAATACATAAATCAAACAGGTCAGAGTTGACAAAAGAGTATGTACTTATAATCTGAGATTAGCAATCAACACTAAGTGTACACCAACGAGTGGTGGGAGGGAGAGAAAGGCATAAAGTAATGTGGACTCTAGTGTAAACGAGATGGCAATACCTCTAGCGGCCTTCCATACAGTTACGTCAATGCCTGTAAAGGGCTCCTACGAACATCTAAATCCCATTTAAGCTTTGTAAAACATTTTGTAAACTAAATATAGTATACCTGTTCCAACATGCCGTAGCTCCTGATGAGGAAGTCCCGCTGAGCGAGCAAGTTGACGCGTTCGCGTTCCTCTTTCTCCACAATAGGATCCGGTTCGAAGGAACACAGCACGTACGTGGGTTTCGCTGGTATTTCTATCTTCTGTAGCAAACATTTTATTATTTTGAATATTCAGGATGTTCTAATAAGGTGTTAGATAGAGACACTTGATGCTGTACATGATCTACCACGCCTATTTAGCAATGAAGCGAAGCTCACCATGTCTAATAGGTGGTAAATTTTGGACCAGCCAGTTTAATACCGCAATTCTAGCTACGAAGTCATTACTGACATTTATTTTACTGCCTCGATATTGACATGACAGTTTAGAGCGTCTTATTGCTTTAATAGGCTCCTCATATTGATTGAAAACATAAAGTAATTGCCTAAGTCCTATTAGCAACGGCATGCCCGTAGGTGCCCATTTTCTTATGGACTAACATTTAATGTATAATTTTTTTATGGGAGAGGGAGGGAATTGACTTACGTTTCAAGTGAGTGGATCAACCGTGACTCACTACGACGCCCAATTCACTCACATCGCTACTACAGCTCACGCACTCGGATATTTAATCATGTGGACACGAATCCGGCGTGCCATAACACGAAACGCAAAGCAACAACATAATTACATCTGTGTACTCTATATAAGCTTTTATTTTAACGTGAAAAGTTGGCAAATAAGCAGGCCGTTCACCTACTGGCAAGTGATAATAGCCGCCTATGGACATCTACACCGTACCCTGCACTGACAAGAGACTAGGTCTTAAATTAAAGAAGATAGATATTTGAAGTCAGTTTTGTTTTTCTGTTAATATAAATGTTTTCGTTCGACTACGGAGAAATATTTGCAGGACTTACGGGTTGCTGCGATTGTGCAGGCGCCTTGTCTCTGTCTCTGTCTTGCTTCGTCTTCTCCTTCTCGTCGTTATCTTTTCGATCTTTTGCGTCCCTTCTCGGGTCCTTTTTCTTAGGTCTTTCCGCGACCGTCTCGCTCGCCGTACTTTCGTCGCCAGTCTTCTTGTCGTTTTCCCTTATCGGTTTCATTTGGAACGGCTTCTTGAGAGCCTCCGCCTTCGCTTTGACTTGCTTATAAATTTAATAGACATGATCGCATTACTAAAACTACTCTTGAGCTAATTTTTTTAAATAATTTTCGTACGTTCAAGAAACTTAAATGATAAAAATATCGCTTCATGCTACCAGACATTTCTTTCTTCAATTAAGGCCTTTTTCAATCATTTATGGTTTTTGACGGAATCGATAGTTAAATTTAAATTTCCAAAGGCATTATATGACCAAATTCTATTTTGGCTTAAGCTTTAACCGTTAAAAATCCTTTTAATGGGTAAAGAGCATAAATCTATTATCATTAAGTCACTAACATAAAAACAGACTATTTTTTAAAACATGCATTTTAGCGCTAGAACTCTGATTTTAAAAAAAGTTTAATATAGCATGTGACACTCGCACAGTAGACGCATTTAGTGACATATCATTCATCAAAATCGTTACAGACTTTTAGTACCTGAGTATCGGTATACTACCCACATATTATATACAATGTTAAACACATAACCTTTCTTCTTGATTAACCCGTAGTCGGGAAATTAGAGGCTAATAACTTAAAAGCATATACATAGATCTAATACGAAGATAGAGACAACTTGATAGTGCAGTTGCTAAGCAATTGGCTTAGGCGCGGGGGCTCGTGGGTTCGAATTCCACACGGAACAAGTGTCTGTTTGACCCACAGATCCGGATCTGGATGTTCGTTTCCAAAGAGAGATGCTGACGCGTCGTAGAAAAAAACCATCCAATACCCTTAACAGCGCGATTCGCATGTTGTCTCGCACCTAGGTGGGATAAGGGCACGAGGTAGAAGGAGACGGAAGATAAGGGTCGGTACGTACCTCGAACTGCTCTCTCTGCTGTCGTGCGCAGTCCCCGCGCGCCCTCGAAGCGGCCGTGCCGGTGTACAGCGATCCCGAAGGCTGCTGGAACAGCGCCGCGTACCTCTCCCCCTCGGGATACACGCGCCTACAGAGGGCGCACTTGTATTTGTATTTTGTGTTTTTTTTTTTAATGTGAGAAAGTGGCAAACGAGCTGGCGGTTCACCTGATGTTAAGCGACACACCCGTAGACTTGCTGATGCGTTGCCACCTTTTAATAGTGGGCCCCAGCTACCTCACTCACCGGACGAAACGCAGAAGTATAACACTGCCACTTTACGCCGGCTCAAAAGCCAAAGCAACAGCTTAGGAACTGTGCAAAGCGAAGGATCTAACTAAAACTGTTGCGTGGACCTACCGCATTGAAATACTATTAAAAGATGTTGTTCACTTATATTTTATGTGATATAGTGTAAACGTAAAGATTCTTAAATTTATTTTACTTTTATACTTTTAATTCTACATTTAATTTTACAATTAATTCTACAAATAATTTCTACTTAAAAAGCATACAAAACAAAAAAAAAACAACATAAAGTAATCAAATTGCAGAGTTTTGAACGCTCTTGTAGGCATAATACCTAAAATTACCCAAATGTGTCTCCTCCCATTGTATCTGGGTCTGCCAGGGGCTCGTCTCCGGCTCTCTTTCTTCGATGCCGGGGTTCTCTATATACCTAAAAATACCACAATGCATAAAAATAGGAATTATTTTTGTACGCTAACGGAGATAGAAGAATGTAGTTTCCGTTTGTACTAATATCTTAACCGTATTATTTGTCTAAGTTTAGGTTTGAAGTTGGTATTTATTATTTATTACGGTTGTTATGATTTAGTTAAATACAACGCACGCTTCGAGATTGTCGGGATTGACCGCCATGGCTTCAATGCCGTTGAAAAAAAATACAGGCTTATCTATATATATTTTTATAGAATTTCAAATTATTTGCTTAGTCGAAATTACTAATTCAAAACGAGTTACTTAACGGAAACAGAAAAAGATATCAAAATAGAATCCAAACAGTAACAAGAACGGATACTGACATGTACATAAGGGGGAAAAAAATAAAAAAAATACTACTTCTCATTAAAGTGAACAAGCTGCTCCAATGTTTTTCATAAATAGAACCCTAAGCTCTCACGCCTACGCTTCACACCGCCATGACATTCCGATTAAGTTATAAAATTCGTTATAAAATTGGCGGAAACAGAAAAAGAAATGGATGTAAAAAGCATGAGGGGATTTGTTGCATCGCTAGTCGAAATTTATTAGATATAAATGATAAGGCGCTAAAAACGAACTGAGAAGATAAATAAATATTACAGAGCATTACTTTTTGATTCTTGTTGGTGTTACCGTGATAGTTCAATGTCCGGGCGCTCGACTGAAATTTAATATACTCGAGCAATATGAGTTCGATCCCCGGTGCCGGCACCAATGAAATTGTTGATTTTAAGTGCTGACCTATCACGTGCTCCGCGGTGAAGGAAAACATCGTGAGGAAACCTGCATATTTTAGAAATAATAACAGAAAAAAATATTTCGAAGATATGTGAAGTCCGCCAATCCGCAGTAGGGTTGCGTGGTGAACTAAGTCCTGAGTCCCTCTGTAGAGAAGAGGCCATTGCAGCCATTGCAGGCCAGCAGTGGGACATGTATAGGTTGTTACTTTACTCTTTTTATTTTTACTTGTTAGTTTGTAAAAGTCTATCCCTTATCCTTTTGCGGTCTTCCTCTAGGACACGTTTCTTGTCGCACTGCCAGATGTTGAGCATCGTGAATGTATCTGTCAACAGGTTCTCTTTGACCTCCCGGTCCAATTGTGTGTCTGTGTGGAAACTCGGTGAGTGGTTTACCTGTAACATACACTGTATTGTAGTCCATAATTTATGAATATAACTTTATTGATACGCACACAATGTGTAGACGTAGTAACCGCTACTGGAACAACGCGTATGTTGAACTAAACAATCATGTATCAAGGGATAACATAATCATATTAGCAAGAATTAGATGGATACTAAAAACATTTAAGAATCTGCAAGGTAACTGTTTCTTCGTCTATGATATGTAAGCACTTGGAGACTAACGAAGCTGTATTTCATATGTTTTTGAATGAATACAAGATATTGTAGTACTGTTAATGATGTAAATATTACTTAAAAAAAATATTTTTTTAAACCACAAACAGGGGTGCGTACTTCTAAAATGTAAGGATGAAGCTTTTGATCCAAAAGTATGTCGAACCCGAGAATCTCGAAACAAGCGTGAACCTGTAAAATAAACTGATTATGATTTTTTTAAATTAAAAGCAAGAAGGATGTGTGAACAATTTATTGGTTTTAATGATGGGCAGAAATTACGAAACTTGATTCGAATGTGAAAATATATTGAAAAATTTGATTAATCATACGAAAAGCACGTAGGTGCTCATCTCAGAAGCACAACAAGCTAGTGGTTAGTGCTATAATGAGAATTAAATATAAAGACAGACAACAGACATTATATTAACCTATATCTGTGTGGGAAATTAGTTCGAATTTATTTTGAAAAAAGTAAGTTTTAAAATAGGTGTAATAAAGTTTTAGATTTTTAAAGTTTTCAAAATTTGATATCATCAGTATTGGTGAAAGTTCGTTTACCAAACAGTATAACTATATATAGAGTATTAACCAAATAGTTAACACTATTAGGTAACATTGTAAATATTTGTGCCAATACAAAAAAAATTATAAGCGCATATTATTATGCTCTACCCGTGCAAGTGTGCGGGAAGTCGATGGATGCAGGTGGCTCGGGTAGCGCTTCGTGGCAGTCTGTGGGGACGGCCTACGTTCAGCAGTGGACTAAAACAGGCTGAAATGATGATGCTAATATCGGAGCAAATACCTAGAAATCATTGTGTTTGTTACTTACTTAAGGATATAAATAGAATGGTAAGAAAGAGAAGATTCATATAATATGGTAAGAAGGAGAAGGAAATAAACCGTGTCGTGCGACGGGAAACAGGCGTGGTAGCTGTGCTTCAGGATTGGCCACGCAGCAATTATGGTCTTCACAATGACCTGGTCTATTGAGTACCACAAACGACTCAGGTCTACGCCTTGCGACATCAGAATTTTGTTCAATGTCGATATCTTGCTGGCATCAGAGAAATGAAGCGTTTAACTATTTTTCATTACGGGAATATCGGATAGAATTTTTTTATCCGAGTGTCGAAGGAAACTATAGCTATTTTCCAGAGAATCTATATATATATATATATATGTATATATATATATATATATATATATATATATATATATATATTTAATTATTATTCGCCGGTTATAGTCATTATGTATGGTAAAAGTAAAGTAACGGCCTATACATGTCCCACCGCTGGGCATAGGCCTTTTTATATAGGACTTTTTATAAGGGCCTTTTCTATACAGAGGGTATCAGTGCGTAGTCCACCACGCGGCCCCACTGCGGATTGGCGGGCTTCACGTGTCTTCGAAATATTTTTTTGTTATTATTTCGAAAATATGCACGTTTCCTCACGATGTTTTCCTTCCCCGCGAAACACGTGATAATGTCAGCACTTAAGGTTAACAATTTTATTGATGCCGGCACCGGGGATAGAACTCAGGTTAAAACTAAAAGTTTTGACTAGATCGAGTTTGCGCCACGAATTAATTAGAGTGAAAACATGCAGACATGCGCGTGATTTACATGCCATCCATGACCAATAAAGCTTTACACATTCCACTAGAGATCAAAGCAAAGACATTTTCCGATTACGATGCGGGAAAAAAGTGTAGGTAATGTGGGATTTTAACGTGTTGAATTTTTGATTAAATTCCAAACATTACTCTGTTGTATCCAATCCAATAGAATATGCCGGATCAAGTCCACCAGCAGACTTAATTGTAAGGCAGGTAAAAATTGTTTCATGCACTTTTCGCTTATATATTATATACCATCATACGATTGTCGACTTACGAAGTGCTAGCTGCAGACGTGGAAGACTTGTTGTTTAACATAATGATTACATTGGTGGAAGAAAAACATCGTAAAAGATCATCGTTAAACGCTCACCGCTTACTGCCAGCCTCGGAGTCATAAACGTACGTCCGACTGTGTTTATTCAGAGCGTAATTCGTCAGATGCATGAACACATTTGTTGTGTTACTCGCGTTTGGATCGGCGTATCGGCTTGTGGCAAATCTTGGAAACAAAACGATTGGAGTGGTATAAACATGTTTTTTGTATTCTAAGAACATACGCTACATACGACGATAAAAACAATTTTTTTTAATTAAAAGTTTGGGGCATAAATTTTTTTATTTTGATTTTTTTTCATTGTAAACAAAACATTTTTGGTAACAAAAAACAACGCCGACTTCAAATATCTAACTCAGTATATTTTATATTTGATTTTGAGGTGTTCCTTGGTAGATCTCCGGAGTCGAAGGTCAATCAAATCATTAAAGTGAGTTCATAAAAGGCGTGGTTCCGAAGGTAACGAACATAAAAAATTCCAACCAAATTGAGAACCTCCCCCTTTTTTGAAGTCGGTTAAGAATAGGAAATTTTACGCGTAGTTTGTGCGTTATACCTAAGTACGTTATTTCGTGCAATGCTTGAAAACCTTCATCGGCTTTAGTATTTGATTGTAAAACATTTGCTTGTTTAAAGTACGGAAGTGATTTGTGTCTTTTCAATGAAAACCTTTTAATTACCTTACAAGTCCTTCGTTATACACAAACACTCTCAGAGGATCGCACGACGTTATTAGCGTGTAAACTCTTATGTCAAACTTGTAGCCATCCACGAGATACGGTTTCGATAAATAAACCTGTAAAATTGACAACCTTTAAAGTTATAAAACAACACAAGCATACTATATATATGCTTTGCCGCTTAGGATAGCGGCTAAGCGGCAGGAGTCTGCCTGAGTGGAGAGAGAAAACTATTCACAGAAATAGCGTTTCACGATCGTTTTTTCTATGTGAAAAGGTGGAAAACGAATAGGCAGTTCATAGGTGGCATCTGCGAGGTGTAAACAATTTCAAAAATTTTTAAAAGCTACCATAATGAAAAGGGTCTATTATAATATCGAAGAATATGTTAAGGATATATAGGATACATTCTAGAATAATAAGTCGACAGTTACTATGACCATACAAAAATAATTGAAAAAGTTTTTAAACCTGGCAAATCAATTTATCCGTGGGCTTAACTTCTTTTAGTGATTTCGTTAAATATATACCGCGGCCTTGGCTGCCGCACTCTGGTTTTATAATGAAAGTCTTGTTCTTATGAGTTTTACAGTAGTTCAGGGCTTCACCGAAACTAGAAATTGTTTTTTACTTTACATATTCAAAGATCACACAACATTAAATAGTTTGTATAATGTTTATAAAAGAAATCTCACTCTGCGGGCAAGCACCATGTTTTAGGGAAGAAATTATATTCCTTCGGGTAGATTTTTTGCATTCGATTCAAGTTTCTGGCCAGCAAGTCTTTCCTAGAAGCGACAATAAATAAATCAATGAATTACAAGATTGTAATTTTCAAATAATCCACACTTTTTAGGTTTCCATACCCAAAGGTCAAAACGGGAACCTTATTACTAAGACTTCGATGTCTGTTTGTATGTCTGTCTGTCCGACCAAGCTGATAGTTAGACAGTTGAATTTTTCATAGATGATGTATTTCTGTTGCCGCTATAACAACAAATACTAAAAAACAGAATAAAAAAATATTTATGTGGGGTCCCATACAACAGAATAATTATAATGGTACGTTAATGCGCGAGTCCGACTCGCACTTGGCCGGCTATTTTGTTTTAATCGGTTTGATGAAATCAAACAACAGTTTATGCAAAAGATAATACCGTCTTTTACATAAACTGATGTTCCAAAATGGCACGTGGGGAGAACGCAACCTCACCTGCAAATCTCCAACATGCCCGGAAAATGGTTGATGCGCTGAAACCTCTTCATTTCCTTAGCTCTTTCGACGGACACGCTCATGTCCGTCCAGTAGAAGTTCCAAGTCTCCTCTTCAGAGACCTCTCGCATTCCAAAAGCGCTGGCCACTTTACGAATCGACTCGTAGCGGCAGTTAGTCAGGCAAATTGTTATTTGCGATCTTTAAAAAATAACACGCTATCGATTTGTAAAACAGTAAACTTTCTTTTTGCGGAAGGTGAATCGCCTGATGTAAGATCCATCCATCCAGAGTATTCTACGAAAATCACAGCACAACAGTTGCGTTGCGTACTACAATACTGAACACACGAGTGCGGTGCCGGATTAACCACGTAGGGCATTAAGTCCCCCCTTTATTACCTTTTTTTACTTAAGGTTGGCAATAAAGATTTAATAAAAAATAAAATAAAACCAAATTAGGTCGGCATGTATTGGATGGCCGGTCCAAGGAGCTCGCACCATGTGGTGAGTCCACATGGAGCGGGGATCTCGAGCCCACTTTGGATACGTACAAGGAGGGTGCGGGGCTGTCCCCTGTCTCCTGTGCAACCTCAGTTATTGATGCTTTTTAGCACAGGCTCTCTTGGCTTGCATGGCTTCTAGGATGTGTGTTTGGGAGAGTCGGTTGCTGGTACAATAGAGGTCCAGTAGGTAAAAGCGCTTTGTGCGGGATAACTTAGTTTAATAGTGTTTGTATAAGTAATTTACTGTTTAATTCATGTAACGTAAGTCGAAATAATTGCTTAAAACTTTGCTTATTTTAGATTGCCTATAAAAATGTCTGTATAATGAAATACTATAAGATTTTAATTGTATAACTGGTTTTATATGACTATTAACACATATGTTGTAAAATTAGTGCGATAAAATAATTAGAGAAAAAGTGTATTTTCATAGTGTCATCGTAATTGATAAAACATTAAATGTAATTATTTGTAAGCTAGTCATAAGACCTCGTTTCTTTAAGGTAACGCACCAAGAGGGTGCCAAAGAAAAAATGTAAGCTCTCTGATTGGATACCAATACGACAACCAATCAGAGAGCAGGAATTAATTCCCACAGGATCACATAAATATAGCGGCGTTTTGGGGCATCATCGCAGTCGACGAGCATCAAGATCTACCAGTGGAACAAGCAACTAGAAGAAGTCAGCAAGAAAGAAGCCCTGCAGCCTGCAGCCACTAGAAGAACGTTTTATTGCATAAGAAAAAACTTGTACAAACGTCTGAAAATAAACAGTGTTCTTTCTGTCTTCACGACATTCTTGTTTCTTTACGAATCCAGCACACTGAAACGTGCATTGCGCACCCGCTTTATGGTCCAGCGCATGTGAAACATCGCGCGAAGAACAATAACAAAATAAAAAGAATCACAGAATAAAACTTTCTACTTTTCAGCGGTCCTTTAAAACCATTGTATTTATAGCAAGCGGAATAATTTGCTAATCAAACTCAGAAAAACCACGAAATGGCAAAAGCTATTGCATAGTTCGTTCACAGTAAAAATAGAATTTATGGTCAAATTCACGTTTTCAATTATGTAACCCTATCGTGTTTGTGTATCTAAATTTCTTGTTTTTTCACCGCTTCTAAGATTAATGTGTTAAGCTTTCCAAGCCTAGATTCCTTATAATATAAATTCGGCCTATAGATCGGGTCCACGTTGTTAAATAAACTATATACGTATATTAGAAAGAGTGAGGAAGATGCTTTGTCCCTATGTGACGATTTATACCAAATCACACCTGCCGTTATGGAACTTCGTTACCATAATTAAATTTTATATTAGTAGTCACATTTTACTAAACATATTCATTAATCGAACCTTTTTCTTTTCTTTTTCTTTTTTGTTGTTTCTGGTGGTATGATAGGAGCAGTGCAAGATGTAGGCTGGGATGTATCGTCTTCGCCATATAGTTTGCTATCGTAATTCCGCATTAGCATTGTCATCTCATTCAAGTCTTCTTTAACATGCTGATCATTTGAAGGTTTCCTTTCTACATCCATAAAATATTTATCATTGATAAATAGAGGAAATCTAAGTGAGGTTTCTTATACCTGTATGTAGAGATCTGTTCATTAAAATAATACAATTGATATAGGGGAAAAAGGGGTAATGGGAGTCAGTGGTACCTGTACCTTGGTCAACCAGTTAATGGGAAAAGTTAATAGAAGATATTCGCTTTCCACGATCACAACCGGATCAGACCTTTACCCGTCGGGTATCTTCACTCGAAGACACTAAACACACGTTACATTAAGTTTACAGTAATCAATGACGTCGTCGACAGTGTTCAGTCGACGGCCATCAGCCGTCAACCCCCTTATCAAGCCTGCATCTATACGTGAGCTTGACTCTACTCGTGAAGTTTTAACATTATACAAACTGTAGCATTTCTGTGAGTTGTGGTGACCGATATTTTATTTAAAAAATAAAACAGAGGCACAGGCAAGGTTTTTTTTTTGAACCTCGGCGTATTATTATTACGCGTTATGGTGACTGAGCTCGAGGGCTTCCGAGGGAGCCTCGGCTCGGGACGTCACTCTATTATTATTACCGGTTTGGGAGGCCGCCAAGCTCTTAGGGCGCTTTGGCGGACGCTCCATGGAGTGACCAGGCTCAAGGGTCCCCGAGAGGGGACCTCGGTTTAGGCTGTCACTCAATACGCGTTTAGCATTCCGATTCGAGGGTGCCCGAGAGGGCCGGTCCTCGGCTCGATCGGTAGCTATTATCTGACTGGGGCAATTTCTAGATCTAACATTACTACCTCGGAAAGCGTTGGTGCTGGGAGAAGTGGCGGAAGAAACTCCAGCAACGCTTCTATCATTAATGGGGAAAACCTGCCAGTTACGTGGCGGAACCTTACCTATGAAGGCAAGGCTCTTAGGTCCATACCGTGTTAATACACATATTTATGGTGTTACGGGTAGGTACTATTTACGGTATCATTGCCAATTTGGTGGTTATACGTTTCAAAGGGCATTTTCAACTCATTTTGTTCATTTTTGAAATTCTGAATTCATTTTTTTTGCACAAGAATATTTCTTTTTCACTTTTTTTACCAGCATTAAATGTAGTTCTCTATTTCCTAATAGTTACTGATACTTTTTAAACTAAAAATAATACATATAGTCTCAAAAAAAGTCCCAAAATATTTCTAATCAATTATTTTCATCTTTTTGCTTACTTGTGTTAAATTGTGACTTTACGTGGTTGTGAACACAACATTGATCTTTGCCGCAACTTTGATTGCACTCCGCCTTAGAAATTTTGACAGCATTGCATTATTAAAGAACACATTTCAATTGAAAACTAAAAGAAATAGGACTAACCTCCATTTGGTGAATAAGACTAGTCGATGAAGATTAATTCAGAAACATATATACGGATTCATTACGAACAAACTTAAATAAGAAATAAGTTAAAAATCTGAAACCAAAATTATACCAAGTCGACACAACATAAAAATAATGATTTTGTATCTAGAAAACAATTATAAATCAAATACAGTTTAGATTTTGTGTGACTTTGTCAAAAACAACTAATGGAATTTTGTGTAACTAAGTGCATTGTTGAAAACCGTAGTTAGTTTTTTTTTCATATGAGCCTGTCTTTGAACATAAAAATATAGTAAGTTTTTAGAATTTTTAGGAATTAAATTTTTATCTCTATAATCCAATAAAGTTGTTTCATTCTTATTGTATCAACTCTTTCTTTCATTGAATTTGTTACGCTTTCTTAATTATTTGTGTTGAATTTAAACTATTTCATTTTGGATTCACTAATTAACGAACATTATAGAAGTTCAAAAGTCGATGATAAGAGTAACTTTGTATGCGTTATACATGTTTCGTGTTTTATGGTCAAATAACAGTTTCAGACCCGTTTGTACTACTGTGGCTCAGTTGTTTAGAACAAGTAGATTTCGACTTTAAAAAAATCATATTAAATATGGATTCCTGGCCAACTTTTTCATTCTTTTGGTATAACTGTCTTATATACAGGTTCCCAACTCTGGATTTTGACGTGGGCCTCCTAACGAGCCAAGCCGCTAGCATCGCTGCAATGATCGAATGAACGTACCCAACATGGTTACCTTCATTTGACACAAACATACAACTATTTAATATAACGTAACTACTATTGCAGATAAAAGATTTAAAAATTGTAGGTTATGTTGATACATCCCTCAATCACAGAGCCATCTAAATTTTCAGCTATGAAATTTAATATTTTAATTTTATAATAAATGCTGCTGAATTGCAATACGACAGGTATTCTAATTAGTTCTAGTAGTTAGTACTACAGCCATCTAAGACCATGATATAGATAAAGATCAACAAAGATATACACTGTTCTTGCAATGAAGATAGACTGCGTAAGTAAGGTATTAGCATTATAACGTAACTCTATAGAAAAAGTTATATTAGGTACTGGTATAAGTAAAAATACAGACTAAAAAAATGTAACTGGCATCTGATTCTAGCAACCCGGAACCAGTGTGGCTAATGTAGGCTAATTTTCGCCATTTCGGCTACCGAGGACGAGATAAGGCGATGAAAAAGTCTGAATGGCGACTGGTTGCCTATTAGACTACTTCAGAGGCAAGCTATTTAAATTACCCAAAACACAAATGAACATAATCTTTTAATATAGTTCTTGTCATATAGGTGGTAGCATTTTTACTATCAATAAATGAGTATAATGCTCCTATTTTGACGTTTATCCTATTTATTGATGTTGCTCGTCCATTTCAACTTTCAAATGTCACTGGATTTGCTGTAGTGCAAACAGCCACTTGTCCGGTGCCTACCACTGTGTTGACCAAAATTCCAGTTATTTTTTAACACTTTTGCTGTAAACGTATAGTGTGCAAATACAAAGTAATTTCAAAGGCAAGAATATGGGAAAATATGTACAGCATTATTGCAATGTAGTACCTCTCCCGCATCCCAAGCTAAGAATGCGCCAGTATTAACACAGCAGCTACCACTGATGACGTTGATGGCAAAAATCTTGCTTGCTGGTGCCTTATCATCGCTGCAGACGAAGTAGAATCTTAATAATTTTTCGTAATTTTATGTACTTAAGGCCACTAAGTAACTTTCACCCACTATACAAACGTATGGTTTGTATAGTGGGTGAAAATAAATAAGTTACTTTAAATTACGCTTTGTAATATAGATTACAGTGATATTTTGGTGTTTGGGCTAAAAATTCAGCTATATTTAGGCTACTTATGCCGGAAAAAATTGGCAACATCAGACCCTATATTGTTGGCAGCACTGGATGAAACGTATTGTCAAATCAAATGCAAACCAATTTCAGTTTCAGTTAGATTATAAAATAAAACTACTACTCTTTGGTCAAATGTCAATGACAAATTGACAATGTTGTGTTGAATGTTCAATATGTTCTATTAAATATGTTAATGTTTATTATTAAGAAGAAGAAGAAGAAATATGTTTATACTTTATGTTTATAATTACTGTAATTTTTTTGTTATGCCATGTGCTACTATTACTTTTATAAGAAATAATTTAAATGATTCTACAAGTTATTAACATGAATATGAAATTTATTATCCTACATTAATCGTTATTTTTACTTTTATAAAATTTAAATATACTTACTGTAAAATGACTACCAGCGATCCTGGAACAATATACTATGAAGATGTTCCACCAGGAACTCTTAATGAAGAGGAGTTTATATGCACAGAAAGAATTGTCCCCAGAAAAATTAAACCGCAGAACATTGTAATAAGGCTGATGGATAGAGAAATATATGGTTCTAGGAAACCTGGATCCCATTTTCATGTTGTCAGAGAGTTCTATCAAAATGTATTCCCCAATTTGACTATAGTAAATGTGGAGAAACCACCTTGCTTTTTGCGTAAATTTAGTCCTGATGGGAAACATTTTATAGCATTTTCTGCTGATCAAACATCTCTTGAGGTAAATTATCATTTAGGCAAAATTATTCAATTAGATTTTTAAATGCTGTAAGACGATAAATTGACATTTCCCAGCATATAATTTTTACATTTTAGCAGCAGATACTGTTTCTGTGTTATGAGCCTCATAAAAGTGGAAAATAGAAGTACTTACATTTTTTGTTTCATTCAATACATGTGGTTGCTAATAGCCAATAAGAGATAATTGACACAACTCATCTTATTTTTAAGTGCTAGCCTCTGCATTCAAGATGTTAGATGTTTTTTTAAATAATGGGAAAGCTTACATGGAGGTTTTTACAAAAATGATGCCAAGTAAAAATATTTTTAGTGTAACTGGAGGCAATTAGAAAAATGTTTGGAAGCTTTTATTTTGAAAATGGTGCCGTAAAATAAAATTATCATTTCAGATATTTGAATACAGAGGAGCATCAGCAGCCGGACATTTAGTAGCAGGGTATCCATCTGATTTGCTGAATGCTGATGCTAATGCCCATCACAGAATACGGACACACATATTTTATAATTTTTTTAAGGTGTGAATTTTTTTCTTTCCTGTAATGCTACTTATATTGACTTTACTTTTCAAGTATAGATTTGTGTTTTAAATTTTCAGCCAAAATTTATTGTAAATGTTTGTCAACAAAGAGTGACAGCGAGATCAGAACGTAATCCGGGACAACTTCCTTTTATTGAACAACAACTAAATCGTGAGTGTAGTCTCTTTACTGAGGATGGACGGTATGTGATAGTGGGCTCTGCAGCTCATATACCTGATGATCTCCGCCCACATTTCTATCACATACACAGCAATAATGAGGCTGTAACTCCAACGATAAGGTACAAATAAATTAAGTTACAGAATACAGCTTCGTATTGATTTTGTTATTTGAAAAATTAGTATTTTGGATAAAATAATATTTCAGATCAGCATTAGAAGACTATTCTCTTCATTTGGTTGATCTTCACCAAGGAAAACTCTGTGATACTAAGCATTTTAGAATTGACAAAATCTACCTCTCACATAATCAAGGTATTTATTTGTACAAAGAAGTTTTAGCGGTACTCTCTGTACAACATCAGACCATACACTTGTTTCAAATAGTTGACGGTATGTTAATAGAAATAAGAAAAATAGGAAGATTTTGTCATGATGATGACTCTTTTATTGTTAGTTCAGTGTTTGCTCCTCACTCCAATGAAAGACCATTTCATGAAGAGACAATAAACAGCTTAAAGCATAGACTACTGGTGTTTCTTTTTAAAAGAGCGAAGACAATAAGTGATGAAACAAGAGATCCCTTTGAGCTAAGAAAATTCTATAAGTATTTTGACATGTTTAAGAGTCTGAGAATGTGGAAAATGCAACTGCTGGATGAAGACCATTTATTTATTAAGTACGCAAGCGAAGAGGTGGTCACTTTGAGAGTGGCAGAACCTAACAGCCAGTCATCATTCTTTGTCATCTACAATATAAGCCAAAGTAAGATTTTGGAGATATACGAGAACACGTCGGAAGCCCTGCTACAGTTATTCGAGAACTATTGCGACTGCTTCAGAAATGCAAGGCTGTGCGCGGACTCACAGTTTACCTGCTCGCCGTCGAATAATCTATACGCCAGGTTAACGCAGCAGAGATTCAAACAGACAATCGTGCGAGCTATTTACGGAGGGCGGACGGAGGCGACGAAACGCATTTTGGCCCAGCTACCTATAAGCGCTCAGTCGTACAGCGGATCGCCTTATTTAGACTTAGGATTATTCAGTTACGACGACAAATGGGTTTCGGTTATGGAGAGACCGAAGGCGTATGGTGAATATCCTATTAGGTGAGTGTCAGTAATTAAAAATTTTTAGTTTTTATAAAATACATTAGCCGAATATTGAATTATTGTTACTAGAAATTTAAATTATTTATAGTGCTAATCTCTGCACTTAAGATTGAATATTAAAATTTGTAGAAAAAGTACATGAAACACAGTGAAATGAGAGTGCAAAATATCACATTTTTTGTCAATTAGCTGATAAAAACAGTATTTTAAAAAAATTTATAATTTACGCTTAGATGTATGTCAATCATAAGCATTATTACAAGATGTAGCGATAGCTGGCAAAAACGACGACTTAGATGAAAATTGACACTGATAAGGTAGTTCCGTAGTACCGTGACGACCTGGGAACCTCAAGAAGAGAGCATACTTTTTCCCAATAGGCCGGCAACGCATTTGTGAGCCCTCGGGTGTTGCAGATGTTCATGGGCGGCGGTAATCAATTCCCATCAGGTTAGCCTCCTGCTCGTTTGCCCCTTTTTTCCATAAAAAAAAAAGTTCTGCTTCATGTGCTAATATTTTCCCCAAATCACGCCGTTTTAATATATTCATATCGAGTATAACGACACTAAATATAATAGCTATTTTATTTACGCGAATATTACTCATTTATAAAATCTTATAAATGAGTAATATTCGCGTAAATCTTATCCTGGTCTAATATTATTGTAAACACCCGACGTTTCGCATAGTTTGTCGATGTAATTTATTCATGTTCACCAAATTTATTTCCACCAGATTTTACGCAAGGGACTCTGGACTGTTGAAATTCAAAATCTACGCAGGCGTCATGGGCCAGTCGGTGCCGGCGAGCGCCCGTAGGCTAGTTGCCTTCACGTTCCACCCCACCGATCCTTTCGCTATCAGCGTTCAGAGGACAAACTCCGACTACATTGTCAACTTCCACATACGAAACGCCGTGTTCAGTTGATGCCGGACCGTTCGGACCTCGAAGGGTTCATGACATCGTTGTATATTATGTGAAATACGCCAAATGTATAAAGTTGTATGTTATTTTTCTGTTCTTAACCTGTTGTCTAGAAATGACAATGATTTTTAATAAACGTTTATATTTTAGTAATAAATTGTTTTTTTTTTTTTAATTTTATGCGGTATTAAAATTCTTCTTTAAAAGTAAAGATTTTTCGTGCTATCTGGTGAAAAAATAGCCGGTTCAAAGGAATGGCAAAACTATAAATTCCGATATTAGATTGTAATCCAAGATCCAAGCTACTGTTCGTTGCACCATCCGCGGGTCGATGGTGAGGAAGTTGGTAACGTAATTTTTGTAATTATTGCACATCGTACGAACGAATATGTGTGCAATGGACTAGTGAAAAGATGCGGATAGAGTCACTGCAGCGGAGACTAGGCTGTTCCGTTAAGAAACGGAAACCTGGAAAGTAACTGGCACAAAGCGGTTACATCATTGGGGCTAAGAAAAAATTTCGGAGTATAAAGAGCGCATTCTAGCCCAAGAGTCTAATGGCTCAACAAAAACCACACAGGAATTTATCTTTTACAAAATAGATCTCTTTCCGTATAGATGGTTTAGAAAATCTTATCGAATTTAAAATTACGGTGTTATTATTTTTTTTTATGTGAAAAGTTGCCAAACGAGCAGACGGTTCACCTGATGTTAAGTGAACACCGCCGCCCATAGACATCTGCTACACCCGAGGGTTTGCAGATGCATTGACAACCTTTTTGGAAATTGGGCTCCGGCTACCTCACTCACCGGACGAAACGCGAAAGTATTTGTCATACTTCCACTTTACGCCGGTCTTCTGTGAGGTCGTGGTACTTACCCGGACGAGCCTGCCCATTCGTGCAACAGCCAAAGCTGCTGCTTGGCTCTACAAAATTATATTGTAAAATATGATAAAAATAATATTGTTATAAATAATATTGCCCATAAATAAATATTAATATAAGTAACCATTTCATATTACTCTATGATTTATAAGTCACCATTTATAAAATAATCTTTCCTGTCATTACTTTAAATAACAATGCCAATAAACAAACAATGACGTTTGTTTATAATATGCAAATCTCTACAAAAATATAGTAAACTCAAGTGATTTAAAATGGCCCATTCAGCAACCAATATCAGTATAATTTTTAAATAATGACCGTACCGTATAACCGTAACTTTCTAAACATGCAGCAAAACTATTTTCATAATCCGGGATTGCAAAATGCAGGTCAATTTTTACCTTATCAGTTACGTGAGTTAATTCATATATCAAACATTACTAGATACATAGATAAAATTTTAACTCTTCCTTTAAATTCATATATAATTACGAGTGGACGAAAGGACTTTCAAATATGACTATTAGTCTCCATTCGGTTGATGAAGAAAGTATTTGTAGGATTTGCTACTAATACTGCTACTACGAGTCGGATGACGTTCAGTTTTCTAGCAGTATAAAATTCCGAGTGTCTAATAAATACCTCTAAGTATGTTGGGCACCTAAACTTTAAATTTAAGGTTGGATGTATCTAAGATTATGTTTGACGTAGCTAATATGCTAGTAGCTCTTTTAGGCCGATGTGTTCGCTCATCGACTAAGCCCTTTTTAAACGGTTTTATTTAGCTCGACCCGTACGGAATTTGTTTGTTTGGGTCAAAATTAGAAATTGAAATTTAAGCACCTTGCCGTTGTCAGATTGATCTGAAATTTGGTACACACGTTTAATTTAGATGACAATACAATATTAACAAAAAAAAAATAACACAAAAAAAAAACAAAAATAAAACCGTTTAACTTAAAATTTTTTAAACGGTTTTATTAATGACCAAATGATGGGTCAAAAACAGAATTAAAGAATAAATTTTAATTCTTTCAACTATCCTCGGTATGGCTGAGCCAGCGAAAGGAATGTGTTAGAATTAATGATCAGCGATGCAGTTGTAACAGTTCGTCAAACAAGTTAAATAACACAATAAAGTACCTAACATAAACCAACAGACACCACAAAAATCAAAATAGAATTGATTTACGCTTGTATCTTGTATCTTGTATTAACTGATATTTGTGCTTTCAGTCCAGAGACTATTAAAGCTTCATCTGACGCAGAACCGGTGGGCTAGCCAGAACCCACGAGTTTGGGCCCTCCGCTGTGGGTAGGGCCGCGCATGTGCTCATGCGTGCGTTTAACTACGGCATGTCATCTAAGGGCCATCGAAGTAGCGGTGCGGACCGAGACCCCGATGGCCGTCGACTGTGTTTTTAGCTAATCGGTGGCTGGGGGCGGTGAGAACCGCCCTGGAACGCGGGTGTACCTTGTGTACGCGTTGTGTTGGTCTCGCCGTGCTCGGAGGCGAGGGCGAACTAATGTGTTTGTTGCTACACTAACTGTGTGTGTAGTGTTATCCGGCGGGACCCCCGACGGTGGGTCCGACGTACCTAAGTCCCCTTCCTCGACCGGGTCGATGAGGACGTTTCGCGGGCGACGCTTGTTGACGCTCGCGTTTAGATCGGGTTGGTAATTTGCTGCGCTTACCACCAGAGGGTTGGGATGATGTTCGGCTCTATCGAAGAACCGTTTGGTCAGGTCTTTGAAAAATTCGCGAATCATCGGGAGTCTGCAATCACTGTGCAGGTCGACGTTGCGTTGATACCACTGCGCACCGGTTGCGCGGCGGATGAACTTATTTTGCACTACTTGCAACTTGTGCAAGCGAGTAGGGTGCGTGTGGGCGAAAATCATGCATGCGTCGGACATGATTGGCCGTACGCAAGCTTAGTATAAAAGTAATTTGTGTCTTAAGGACATTTTACTTGACTGGTTAGTTAAAGTGCTTAGCCGGCCGGAGACGAACGCGGCTCTGTTACGGACGTTATTAATATGCGCTGTGAATGACATACGCGAGTCGAAAGTGACTCCTAAATATTTTACCTTTTTCTCCCAGGGGAGCGGTTGGCCATAAAGAGATATTTGCCCTAGCTTTCTGCATTGGCGACCACCTTTATAAAGATGTGACGGGTAAGTACTTCGTGTGAAGTGAATCGCCACACTCTTTTCGGGATTTACTTCAATTCTCCATTTGCGGAACCAATCGCCGAGGCGGTTGGCGGCGCTTTGGAGTCGAGTGGTTAGTTGACTAAGGTTGCGGTCTGAATAAAAGAGCGCCGTGTCATCCGCGAAAAGCGCGAGATTGACGTGGGGGTCTTTTGGTATATCGCTCGTGTAGAGCGTAAAAAGTAAGGGTGAGTGGCAGGAGCCTTGTGGAACGCCAGCCGTGAGGCGGCGGCTTGTGGAGAGGGCACCTTCAACTCGATATCGAAAGGAACGGTTCGACAAGAAGGCCTGAATGGTGTGTACAAGCCTGTCTGGCACTTTGAGTGAGAACAGCTTGTAAATCAAGCCGTTGTGCCAGACTTTGTCGAATGCCTTGGCGACATCGAAGAAAAGAGCCCCCGTGCTAATATGTTTAGGGTCATTTAGGCCTTTTAGGATATGTTCCGTTAGGCGGTATAATTGATCGGGACAGGAATGTCTTGCTCGAAAGCCACAGGAAATTGTTCCGCCGGCAGAAGGCCATTGGAAAACACGTGGTCTTTGAGCCTGTTTAATAGAAGCCGCTCGTAAAGCTTCCCCAGGCAACTGAGGAGGCTGATGGGACGATAACTAGAGGGCTGATTGGCTGGTTTATTCGGCTTGCGAATGCCGATAACCGTGGCTTCTTTCCAGTCGTCCGGAAAGGAACAACTGGAGAGTAAAGTGTTGTAAATGGTCGCCAGTAAACAGATAAGTGGGCCAGGGAGAGCTTTAAGGATTTTATTACTAATATTGTCTGGGCCCGGGGCGGATTTGGGTTTTAAATTTTTGATAATATCGTGGACCTCTTCGGGGGTCACTGAGTTTAATGGATCGCCTTCCGGTGGAAGCGCAGCCCTAGTTTTGATAACGCGGTCCAACTCCGTTAGGTGGGCTGTGTCGATGTGTTCGCGCGATGGCATACATTGCTGCTCTAGGTTGTCCGCAAGGCATTCGGCTTTTTCGGAGTCATCTAGGGCTAATGAAGTGCTATTAGGCATTGCTAACGGCGGTAGGGATTCGCGGGGCTCTGCTTTCAGACTGCGGGCCAACCGCCAGTAGGCGGTGTGCGATGGCTCGATATCCTCTAGTAGAGTGTCCCACTCGGTATGTCGGTGTTCCGATACGCGATCTTTAACTTCTAGCTGAAGGCGTCGAAGTAGGGTTCGGTTCGATTCTGATCGGTATCGGTCGAAAGCTCGTTTGGCTGCATTTTTTTGTCTAATTAGCAGTCTTAGGTCGGGTGGAAAGTTAAACCGTCGGTCGCCCGACAGTTTCACTGTTCGTTCCGAATCTGCAACTGCGAAGTGATAGATGCGCGAAGACTTGCTATCGCTCGCTCGATTTGCGTCATCGAACGTAGCTTTCGTCTCGGGTAGGTTGGCGATGTGCTGGGGGTCCAAGGCCTTGACTTTGACCTCAAGGCGATGCCAGTCCACTACGGTTTTGGTCGGAGGGACCGCGCCGGCGTTCTGGCCCAGTTTACACAGGACCGGCCTGTGGTCTGATTCTAATTCTTGGATTGTCTCTATCGACGCGATGTCGAGGGAGACCTCCTTGAACAACATGATATCAACATGATATCATGTTATAATCGCGAAGGAATTCTGCGATTTCGTCCCTTTGGCCCCTAATGCCGTTTGCGTTAAAATACGAAACAACCAGAGCCCGAGGTTTTAATCTACCTGCGGTTGTACTTTCCATTTTAGTTTTAGTAGCGGTTCTAGGTAACGACGCGGCGAAGCGCGGTTTTATTGCCCTGACTATAAACCTTTATGGTTGATTTTTAAACACCCAAAGGGCGTCTACAAGTTTTTTGTGCTCGTTGAGCGCATTAAGTCAATCGGTGCCACATGTGGCGGCCGATAACTTTGTAGATAGGACGGCGAGCTCTTCCCGATTTATGCGTTCCAGGAAGCTGCAGATGTTTGCCATTTGGGCAAAAGGGTCGTCTTGGTTCGCGGAAACGACCGGTGTAATAAAATGCACCTGCGGCGTCGGTGCTTGTTGTTTGACAGGCTGCGGTTGGAATGTCGTCGGTCCTGAGGCGACCGGAGCCGCGGCTACCTGCGCGACTGCCTGAGGTTTCGCCCAGGCGTTTACGACGGGTGCGGGCGCGGGAATGTACTTCGCCGGCGCGGATTTCGGGGCCGCGATTTTCGCGAGCGTAATTTTTGCGGGTGCTTTCCTCGCGGGGGTTTTTGGAGCTTTAGCGCAGCCCCTGTAGCTAGCCGGGTGGCCGGTAGTCAAACAATTTACGCAGTCCGGTGGATCTGCGCAATCTTTAGGACGCGTGCAATCTGTCGTGCCGTGGTCACCGGTGCATTTGACGCACGTAGGGTGAGCAAAACAGTTGCGGGCTGTGTGGCCATAGTGTTGGCAGTTATGACACTGCGCAACAACGCCTGACTTCCGTGGAGGCTCAACGACGAGTTCGCTAAGCCCACAGAGCCTCTTCAAATTAAAAATTGCCTTACCTTCCGGGGTAGGGTCCAACTCCACCATTATAATGTCCATCGGGACACGGGTTCTGGGGTGACGTAGGCGACGAACGGCGTGCACCGGGTATCCCTGAGTGCGGATGTCGATTTTTACATTGTCGACATCCGACTCTTTCGGGATTCCCTTTATGACTACCCGAAGTTTGCGTTCTTCAGGCAGCGAGTAGGTATGGAAACCTACTTTGTTTTCGCGTAAATATTTAGTGACGCGGCGGAAGTCATCGATGCTATCGAGGTATACACGGATACCTTGATGGGTGTTCTTCGACCTTGATGGGGGTCTCGAATATTGTGGCGTTCGAACCACACGCAAATTTGATGCCATTTAGCTTTCTCCTGGATGATGATAGGCGGAGGAGGCTTGGCTTTTCTTTCGGCGGCGTATTCGGGTACCGGTTGGACTGCCGCGGCCGCCTTTTTGGCGGGCGTCGCAGTGGATCTATTAATTGAGGTGGCGGCCTCGCTTTCGGGGTCGCTATCTACGGCGGGGCGTTTCTTGCCCTTCTTTTTTCGGCCAGTGACGACGGTGAAGCCGTCGTCATTGGGTTTACCGGCGGGAGTTAAATCTACCTCCATATCCGATCCGCCGTCCGAGTATGAGTCGAGTACGACGGTGCACAAGGAGGCCGGGGTAGCTTGCGAGGAAGGCGCGACGGGCGTGTTCGCAGCGGCGGATGTCGACGCGACGGGCGCTTCTTGCGTCGCGGAAGGCAACGGGGTTACGGGCGCAGAGGGCGCCGGAGATGGCGGCGATGCGATGCCGGTGAAGGCGGGCTGTCGTTGGCGTATTCAACGACTAATCGTTGTTCGGATTCGAACGCTAGGTAGCTTTCCCAAATGTCGGGACAGCGTTGTCGGACGAACTCCTCGAAAAGGGAGCCCATCGTAACGTATGTGCCTTTGGGGCTTAGGCCCCACCGGCGTGTGTAAGCTTAATAAGCCTCCCCACCTTGCGGCAGGGAGGAGTGTGCCTAAAAATAACACTAAATTCGCCTGCGCTTTAGGTGCGCTAGGGTGAGTACCTAGCTGTCGCCCAATGCAACAAGCACACAGTTAAAAATTAGGCAATGCCGCCTCTGAGGCGAGATATGTGTGTAGAATTCTTCTTACGGACAGGAACCTGCCTACGAGCACAACACTACACTAACCTAAACTATTGCACTACTTGCACAAATATTTAAATTGCAACCAAAGTTGCGAGTAGCGTCTAATTCGGGTGGCATGTGCCCTCCGTCTTAGAGAGACGTCCGTTCCGTACGAGAGCACGAAGCGGAATGAGCACGAAGCGGAATCTGATTTACGCCTTATTTTCAATGCACTATTTCGAAACGTTTTAATGCATTGACAATTTTAAGAGCAAATAAATATTTCAGCGTTGCCAAACTACGTGCAGTATCCAGATATAGTTGGCGACGGCGAAGTCACTTCAATCGTGCTACCAAATGGCAGCCTGCAATACATATTTATCCCAAGTTTCAAATGGGACTCGTGGTCACCCCATCCATACAGTCCCTATGTAAATAATATAAACTGGAATTTTAATAAGGAAGCGTGGATTATACGGAATTTATCCAACCCGTAAGTTAATTCAATTGATATTTTTAATGTCCTGGAGCAACATAAAGTAGAAGAAACATTTATGTGTTTTCTATTATCTATTTCTATCTCACATTAAGACCCGATCTATATTGGCTATATCGTACGTAGTTTTGAATGCACTTCCACGTTTTTGATATTTGAGCAATTTACGATAGTCGCGTTACATGCTTTTTATTATGTTTGTGAGATCGTACCTTACCGGATGGACCCTCCCATTCGGGCAACAGCGAAGACTGTTGCGTGGCCCTACCACAGATAAAATGCTTTCATGGCGCAGTTCTTAAGCAGTTGGGTCCGGGGGTCGTGGGTTCGAATCCCATACGGTACAAGTATGTGTGTATCGATGTGCGATCGTAAAAAATGTTACCAGTACGACCAATGTGATTCACACGTTGCGCCGACCCCATCTAGATGAGATAAGGGCATGCGTTTGTGCATTTCATAATTGGTTTGGTGTTGCAGAATCCCTTCTTACTGTTTGAGTCAGCAATCACCAAGGGCCTACGGCGATCTACAGATGAGTAGCCATTTACCGCACGATTACGGACCCAACACACTTGCGATAGGATATCACAATAAGGTTCGTGGCTTGTAGTTATTCCATTCATTTGTCACTGTGCATAATTTGGCGAAAGCAATAAAAATTATGGTTTCGCTCACATTTCGCTTTCCAGTTCCATTACGACCAGTGCACGTCTACTACGGACCTCCATTATTTCTACCCCAGCTTGCGGAAGCAACCCGAGAAATGCACCGCCAGTGTGCAAATCGACACGCCCGTTGGCAATACCGTTTGCCATTACGAAGTGGTATGCGGCAGGCCGTGCTATTGCACCGTGGCGAACGGGACCGACAAGAACGCAGTGTCCAAGACTGGTACGAGCCACGAACAGATATGCCGGTGCATGTCCGTTGACAATGTTCAGGGCCCGAAGGTCGAGTGCGAGTGTTCCTCTCGTCGCGCGACCTCAGACAAGATGCCGCCTACGTGCAAAGATCAGGCGAGCGGTCCACGCGAGTTAATAAACAACCCATCGACCAATAGACAGAACCAAACGGATCAGTCCGATGGCACGAAGCGCCGTAAGGCGAAGCCGAGAAAACTAAGAGGCAAAAGATCGCCGATTAAGATAATTGGAGTGTGCGAAGGTGGCTGTTGCTGCAGCAGCTCCTATACCACGGAGGGGGAGTTCTAAATGAAACAAAGCTGCGTCCGTAGATTCTTATCGTACATTTTATTCCTTAGCAATACATGTATGTACAGTTTACGATTAAAAAAAAAATGGTACAGTTATAAACACATTGAACAGAGCTGTCCAGTTTCATTGACGGGGTGATGTTTTGGGTGACGAATAAAATTTGTTATTGTCTTTATAAAAAAAAATGTTCAGCATCGGGACCTAACAACAGTCTTACGGTTACGAATCTCTTTTTTTTTAATTTGTTAATAAAATATTTGACAGTTTTGTGCGACTGTTATACATTTAAATAAAACACAGCACGACCATAAACGCACCAGATGAATTACATAAGGGACGGTACAAACGATACACTGGCTCAACGGGCACGAATCTAAAATCTAAGTTTGGGATATCGATATTGTTATTTATCACACACTATATGAATTCTTACTGCGTGCAATCTTTCCTCTCGAAGCAAGTTTTGAGGTTATTGCGGATATGCTTGGCAAATGCTACATTTTGCTGTGCGCAGTTCTGATGGTAGTGATCTAAACCCAGCGAGAATTGCAACGACGGACAAACGAGTGACGTCACCGCTTGCTAATTAGTGCCTGTCTATTTTTTATTTATAATATGTAATGTATACTTTGGTGGATATAAATGAACTCTTCGCCGTACTCACTCTAATAGCAATTAGGCGTTCACTACACTGAAACAAACAAATGATTAGAGAAACATGCATAAATGATTTGGACATTTTAGCACATTCCTCGTAACATAAAGAATTCGATCAAAGGAAATACGCACAAGATGAAATGACAAGCACAAGAAAGCACCGATATGAATATTTGTTTATAGAAATTGATGCTATTATTAAAATTTCAAAACGATTTGACACTACAAAGCATACCGCATAAGAGTAATGGCATATGGCTCATATGTCGGGCGAAGTTTTATATAAAGCGATAGGCATTTTCAATAGCGATGCAGAAAAAAAAAACATTTTTATTACATCACCAAATCCCTGGCAGCTGATATAAATAATTCGATTAAAATAACATAACACTTACAACTAGTATTGCGTACGAATACATTAGGCGAAAACGAAAAAGAAATCCTTAAATCGGGCGGCGTTTGAAATGGGAGCCGTCGCCGAAATTTCATCACAACGCGGTCTAAGTAACTCCTATATGCTTGATGTGACGCGCTTATGGGCGAGTGTTATAGATGTATTTACATATAAATTATAATATTTAATTGATAATCCTAAAGGGCTTCCGTAACGTTTAACATTTCAAGCATACAAGATTACCTTAGACTATTGGAATTTCTTTTTTTTTTATATAAATTTCAAACATGAATTTACTTACACATCCTAACGCTGAGATTCACATTTATTTTTCTACCAATCGTTTGCCACACTAGGACAATTCGCAGCGCCGGGGCAATGGCGCGGTACGTTCGTTACACATTTTTTAAAGACTCGTAGAATTAAACAATAATTAAAAAAAAAAACAAATCACTTATTACATTTTATATCTACATTGTAAAATAGCACACAACCTTAAGTTGGCTAAAGCAACTCTTCCCCCCCCCCCCACATTAAACTAAACACACCTCACTATCCTATAACACAAGTGCAAAATACACCCAAATCCTATCACATTAACGCAGATCGGTTAAAATGCTCAATTGATATTATGATACATCAGACTTTAGTTCTAACATATCGGTAAAGGAATGAATCGCTCTATTTAATACCGTCCGTAAACTCTGTTCATATATCAAGAGAAAATATTTAAAGAATAGTTTATTGTGCTGAAATTTTAATCTTATCGAAAAATAGACAACAGCTAGATCTGATTAAATAGTACATTTATACATTTCTATGTGCATATAGTCGCTATGACGGCGCATTAACAATTTATCAGTCAGAGTAAATGTTTTAAATAAATGAAAGAATAATATACAAACAACAGTTCAAACTTTATCTTGACTAGACAGTACGCTTGTACCGACATACGGTCAACAAATTAAGTAGGGCTTCTACAGACGTTGAAAAAAAAAAAAACAATAAACATAGGCAGTTGTACTCGAGTAGAACTCTTAGTGATATGTAGTTTTTTTGTAACGTAAGTATAAATAGAAAAGTTCACAGTAATGACACCCATTGAAATATTTGGTTCTTAATCGATCCTTTAAAAACGATCATCTCTATGTATTGCATTGATTTTTATTTCATATGCTTAAACAATTAAAACACACCAGAATATCATGCTACATTAAAATAGTCACTAAAAGCCCTTCTAGAGTAACAAATATAATCCTATATAAAACCATCTCTTTAAATTTAATTTTGTTTTAATTACTTTTAAAGCAAGGAAGTGTCTTTAAATATTGGTTATGAAAATAATTTAGTACTTACATAAACATTTAATTAATTTAATACACATATAAAATAAACGTGCATCTTCACAGCTCGTCCTTGTATAATGTACAGTTTGCATAATTACGTGATCTTCCATTCAGCCATTTTGTTTACTGCGAAAGAGAATTGTATAGTAATTAAGAGATTTATTGGCCACTATAGGTTTTTATTGAGCGTTTTGTGGTTCAAATTGGCATAATGATTAATTTCATAAAACTATTTTATTTGTGTATAGCACAAATCTCTCAATTTCCTTAAAACTTACAACCTGCAGAAGTTTAAAAAAATAGGTTTATTAGAATTAACTTTAATGCTGCTTTTTTTTTAAGGTGACATGACGTCTTGTCTCTTATATATATATACAAAAATACTTTATTATCAAAAATAGCTCAGTGTTCATATTTTTTACGCCCTTTATTTTGTAATGAGTAGAAAATCGGCAAGTTTCAAGACTGAATAGGAGACTTTTTTTGGATATTGAGGGCAAGGAGAATATTTTTTTTTAAGATCAATGTTGATTATAAATGGCACTATAGACAAAAACAAACCGGGAAAAGGATTTCTGTAGAACGGTTATTACTATAAAATTCACTATGAGGTCCCAAAACGTATTTGCAGACTTAACATATTTATGAAATATCTTTGGGCGCTATAGGCACATGTCAGCGCAGGACGACTCTGAGGTGTGGCTGATGGCGTTGGTGGGTCTGCTGGAGTATATTGATTGGGGGCTTTTTTTTTTTTTTATGTGAAAAGTTGTCAAACGAGCAGACGGTTCACCTGATGTTAAGTGAATACCGCCGCCCATAGACATCTGCTACACCCGAGGGTTACAGATGCGTTGACAACCTTTTGAAAATTGGGAACTGGAAAAACCTTTAGACTGTGAGAAGTCAAGGCGAAGTGGTGTGGCCGATGGGGCTGACGAGGCTGGTGATTCTAGTACAGTATACCGTTGGGGGCATGAGCTGTTAGGTTCAATATCTGCGAAACGTGGTGTGGCTGTTAGAGCTGGTGGGTCTGGTACAATATAATGTATACTAGCTAATGGCTGTAGACTCCCAGGTGTTAAGGCTCAACACTTGCGGCGCCTGGTGTGGCCGATGGGGCTGGTAGGATATAGCGATGGGGGCTTTAGACTGCGAAGTGTTGAAGCTCAATACCTGCGGCGCGTGGTGCGGCTGATGGGGCTGATGGGGCTGGTGGGTCTGGTGTGGCTGGTGGGCGTGGTGCGCCGCGTCGCGCATGGCCGCGAGCCGGGCCCGCGTGGCCAGGAAGGTTGGCCTCTGCGCGGGGTCCGCGTGCCAGGCGGCGCGCATCACGTCGTACGGCCCGCCGGGGCAGCCCTCCGGCGCCTCCATGCGGTAGCCGCGCTCCACGTGCCGGACCACCTCCGCCAGCGGCTGGTGACGCGATCGATTCGTATATACTCGAGTGACAACTAAATGGGCTGCGGGAAGTCTATGGATGTAGCTGCCTCAGGTTCGTGCTGTGGCGGTCTGTGGGGTCTATGTTCAGCAGTGGACTCAAACAGGCTGAAATGATGATGAAAAAATGACAATTGTCTCCTCCCACTCCCTCCCCAATTCGCTATGGGCTTTATATGAGGTAATCTAACGGCTTCCAGTCTGTTAATGGAAATAATGCATTTCATCTCATTTTGTTAACGGTTAACAACACACTCAATTAAAAACCATCACAGATAATAATATAGTTTTTTTTTATTTTGAATATAAAATATAATGACAACCAAGTCTACATAGGTACTTCAGATTTATTTCAAACTTACAATTCTTGGGTATGGCACTCTTCCAAATGAATAGATCTCCCAAAGTAGAATTCCAAAACTCCACATGTCAGATTTGTTTGAAAATTTCTGTAAAAGCGAAATACGTACAATTTAAATAAATATACTTACGCATCTGTCATGTTGACGTATAGAGGTCCAGTGCCAGTGCACAGGGCATTCAAAATAAACTATAAATCGCATTGTAAATCTACACTGCTATCACAATAAGGTTTGATTAGTGATTACCAGCCTCGACATGGAAACAAGATTGTATTCTATATTACAATATTTCATTGTTGACTGAGAACCTGTTTTATTCATCGATGTCGATGAATAAAACAGGAAATGGGAGTCAAAGTTGAGACCGATCTTGTTACCAAGCTCGGTCTCAACTTTGACTCCCTATACTCTTACCGTATGGTCCGCTCCGTGGCAGGCCGAATGACAAAAACAAAGGCGAGATGTGTTGCACCGTATCAGATCGCTTCGCCATTTAGGGCATGGACACTAGATTTCGAGGGGAGGGGGGAAAGGTCACAGTTCACATTGTACTTGAGCGCCTGTGGAGCGGTCCACTTGACGGGCAGCTTGTAGGGAACATGGGTGGGACGGGTGGAGGGGGAGAGGGGAGAAGGTGCAGCGACTCACGGTGTACTTGAGCGCCTCGGGAGCGGTCCACTCGATGGATAGCTTGTAGGGGACACGGGAGGGAGGGGGCGGGAGGAGGAGGGGGCAGCGACTCACGTTGTACTTGAGCGCCTCGGGAGCGGTCCACTTGATGGGCAGCTTGGCCTGCACGCGCACGGCGTCGGCGGGGTCCTCGGGCGCGGCCTCGCTGCGCGCCAGCCCGAAGTCGGCCACCTTGGCCGCGCCCTCCGCCGAGATGAGCACGTTGCGCGCCGCCAGGTCGCGGTGCACCACGCGCTGCCGCTCCAGGTACTCCATGCCGCAGCACGCGTCGCTGCAAACGGGCGGCTCTTATGGGTATCTCACCTTCGCGGACCAACCTCAAGTTGCGGATCGCCGCCGTTGGTGGTTATAACATGTTGGGTGGCGAATGCCGGAAAGGCATCACGCCGTTAATGGACATGCGTGGGTCGACAACATTTAAAAGGGTGGACCCCGATTGTCATATCATTATACTAAATGTACATATATAGATATTTCTACTGTTCACCATCCACTACGCCAATCGGGTCGTGGCAGTGAAAACGACGGCGCTAACCTCACAAGCGCGGCATAAAAAACTCACTAGGCGAAGTTGATCTGGTCGAGCTGCGTGACGTAGTGGCGGCCGCGGCTGCGCAGGTAGTCGAGCAGCGATCCCTGCGCGCAGTGCTCCGTTACCAGGCACGTGCTTCCGTTGGAGCTGAACACCACGCCCAGCAGCCGCACCAGGTTGTCGTGTTTCAGGGACCTGGCAACATTACCGAATTAGATAAGTTAGAATAGAGTAAGAAAATAGTTAAGTAGTTAAGTAAAGCAACAGCCTCTAAATTTCCCACTGATGGGCAAAGGCCTCCACTGTACAGTCAGGTCATAGTCCATCTAGCGAACCCACTGCGGAAGCCCACCAGACTTGACATTTCTCGGAAATATTATTTTTGTTGTTATTTTGAAAATATACAGGTTTCTTCTCACGATGTTTTCCTACACCGTTGAGCACGTGGTCAGTGAGCATGTAAAATTAACAATTTCAATGGTGTTGACACTGGCGATTAAACACAGGTTGCTCGAGAATTCAATAAATTAAAAGGGAACACCCGGACAATGGGCTAATATAAACCGTTTTCAAATTAAATTCCTATTCCTGTAGATTATAAAATTATGTTTTGTAGTATTCTGAAGTTTTATAGGATATCTATTAACATACTTTATAGGCTACCATTATAAAAAGTATTATTTTTAATATTGAAAAGTTTTATAGGCTTTGTGAATAGCCACTATTTTGCAAATAATCTTTCTAAAAAGTATAAGCTGGATTTTATTGTGACACACTACATAAATATGAATTAGTAATCAATGCTAATCCATTTTTCAGAGCTTTGATATGCGATACTTGACTTACTGCACTATTACCAATTTTTAAGAAAATGTCAAAATGCGTGGTAGATTCACCAGACCCTAAGGAATGAGAGTATCGGGGTGCTTAGGTGGGTGTTTGCATTACTTACGACATGAGACTGGCCTCCGCGCGAAACTTGCTGGCTGCCTCCCGGTCCTTGAGGATCTTGACGGCCACCTTCTGGCCGCCGTTGAGGATGCCCAGCATCACGTCACCGAACTCCCCCTTGCCGATGTTCTCTCGTATCTCGAGGTCGCGTTCGGCGATGATCCAGCCTGTTGATAATATGACTTTGGACTGAATTTATCGGGACTCAATATTACGCCACGTTATCTATTAACGAACTAAGATTGACGTGGGGTTGGCGAATACACATCAATGAATACGCAAGCACCTCAATGAAAGAAAAAAATATCTGCACTAATCTTAATAGTAATTTTTCTTAAATAATAATCCCCTCAAATGTCGATAGGTCTAATTGACAACTTTTGATTCATCGAGATAATAGATCTAGATTGGGTCGGATCTGGACCTAACTTTCCTACAATGTCTACGTGAAATTTATGCATGTAAAACTTCCTTATAAGACAGGATAACGTTATCCAACAAGGGAGGCGGGGGGCTATGTTTTGAAGGAAAGACCACAATAGACCTTTGTTATCGTTGGGACTTTACCCAACCGCTGCCAAACAAAAAAATCAATCTATCTCAGGCGGCAGTCGAGTGCGTAAACCTCCAAATGGAAGTCGGTGAACGAACGAAGAACGAATGAATGCATACGTACGCGCGTCGACGAACCTCTGCTGCGGCGCGGCGCCGTCGGGCTGGTCGGTGGAGGGCGGCTGGGCGGCGAACGCGTGCTGGAAGTGGCCCGAGCTCAGGGCGCCCGACACGCTCGGCGTGGGCGGGTACGGCGGCGGTTGCTGGGGGCGCGGCGGCTCGTCAATCATAAAAGCTCTCATGGGACGAGCTCGTGGGTTCGATTCTCACACGGGACAAGTGTCTGCGTGACCCCCACAGATAACTTTCTTTTTCTAAAATAATTATTACTCTACTGACTCGAGGTAATTTGTTGATTGAGGTCCGTACCCGTATTTGTTTTACTCATCATATTTTCATGTTAATGTACTCTGTACTCTTCACTACAACGAAACAGTTAGTGAGATACTTAAATCTACGCTTAAGCTTCAGCTACATAACCGTTCGTGGTCTGGGTGTTCGTCACCAATGAGGGTTGCCCAGGAAGGTCGTATGGAGCGCGCGAAATGTCAGTACACAGTTCATAGGTGCCGGACGTGCTACAAGCCTGGGGAGTGTTGCCCTCTCATTCACGCCGCAGTCTGAACAGCTATCTGCCTCGTAGTGGGGATTGAACCCACGCCCTCCGGCGCACTATCCACTACACCAATCCGGTCGCCAAAATGAATGTGGATATTCCTTTTTCCCTCAACCTATAAACATGTGTGTTTGACGTCTCTATCTGTGTATCTGTTTGTCTGTCTGTGGCATCAAAGCTTCTACACGAATGGACCGATTCTGGTGCAGCTTTTTTGTTTGAAATCTGACGTAATCGAGATGATTATTAGCTATTAATTTAAGTTTTTTTTGTGTCAAGGAGTACAAAAAAAATAATAGGTTTATGTTATTTATCAGTTGTTTTATACAGCAACTTTTGCAGTTGACGATACATGCACAAAAAACGCGGAGCCAACTTGAACCAAGCTTATAGCGTCCCGTTTCGGCACATTTTATATCTTATACCTTTAAACGAGCAATTATTATATATATATATATATATATATATATATATATATATATATATATATATATATATATATATATATATATATAATAATTGCTCGTTATATATATATATATATATATATATATATATATAATCGGATACATATATAACCGGAATCTCGGAAACGGCTCCAGCGATTTTAATTAAATTTTAGAATATAGTGTGTGCGTAGATTCGGGGACGAAAAATCGATCTAGCTAGGTTTCATTTTTAGAAAATGTCCTTTTACTGTTTGTAAATGAGTAAGTAATTGTAATGTTAAATGTCCTTACCCTGTTTTCAGGGAATGAAAAATATCAGAAGGCCGTGGTTCGTGTCACGATCATTTACACATTTATTTTATTACTTTTTTCGATTCCAGATCATTGCTTTCTTTATTTTTTATTTTTTTGTCGACCTTTTTTTTCTTCTTTCTTTTGTGAAAAACACCAGTTCATATTTTATTATTACGTCGTTAAAAATATTATGCACATTTTATTACTCAGTAATTTGTATCTAAATGTAATTTCCAAACTACACGATTTACCAAAAAAAAAATACAAACCGAGCAAAGCTCTGACCTCCAGGTAGGTACTATTTATTTATTTAAAAAAAAAACATTTTGCACATAAAACGTACAATGGCGGACTTAACACAATTAGGTGTTCACTACTAGTCAACAGACAAATAAGTAGAGAAAATATGGAGGTTCGAAAGAGCCACATGAGAAGTAGTGAAAAATATTACCAGTATTTATATAGATAGTATATAATATACAGTATCAGTACATATACGTTTACACATAAATACAACACAAATATATACATTATTCAATTAACTCAATGGTCAATTGTGCCGATTATCTAAATAACATTTTAGGACGGCACGTTTAAGTCTCTTTAGCCGAACAATTTCTGATAAAGGTGGTAAATACAATTACGTGCATAACAGTACAATACGCTTCGTCGGCCCAACTTACAGGCGGGTGTGGCGGATATGGCGGCTGCAGCACGCCGTTGTTGTTTGCGCCGTTGAGTGACGCCTTCGGTAGGCAACGGACCAGTTTCGTGCACAATCCATCCGCGTCCTGGAGGTAATGCTGTCGAAAGATATATGTCACATGTTAAAATACAAACACAAAATATAGAATTGATACATGACAGTCAAAATAATGTAACTTTCTTAACTTTTAAAATACATTTTATAATGGTCCTGTTTGATTGTGCGAATTATCTGCTATAAACACTTTAAAAAAATTCGTAACATTTCATATAAATACTAATAATGTTCGCACACAAAGAAATAAACAATATTGGTTGACAAACAGTGAATAAAAAGGTACTAAGAAGTTGCAAAAGATCGTAGTTTAATTTTAACATATTATGATCATTTTCTTCACGCACATTAGGTGACGCTAAGCACAGTCAATGCTAAAAATACATTAAAAACAATGTAGCTAAAACGTCCAGATTTGCACACGTTGAGGATTTCGACCGTTTAGCTTAGTGGCTAAAGCTTCGGGACGCGTAATGCGGAAAACGCTGGTTCGAATTTTGACAGCAGCGAGAAAATTTGCGACAGTTTTACACATTTCAAGTATCGTCTTATGCGTAGATTAGCACTAAAGTTTAAAAATTAAAAACGATAATACTCAGACTTTGTCTTGGTCCAACGCACGAGAAACGGTCATAAATATAATAAAATCAAAAACTCAACATTCTCAAATCTAAAACGTTTAGATCAAAGCTGAGACTTCGCGGATTTTATAAATCAGATCCTCATTGTACGGTCGAGTTCTTAAGAGATCCTTCAAAACAACTTACGTGAATTAAGTCGGTCATTGTATCGAAAAACTCTTCATCGTCGATTGTTAAGCGTTGGGTTTGGCTCTCAGGTGCGGTCGCCCATTTTACCCTGTAAGCGGAAAAATGTTATTTAAATATTATATTATGGTTATTCAATTAGGTCTTTCGGTTTACAAACTAGGAATATAAAAAAAATGTTTGTCATACATTTTTTTCATGTTCAATGATGATCGTAAATGTTTCGTTTCTAAATCCTTTCAGAAAAAAATTGTCATTATAAAATTAATCCTTTATCTCATCCAACACCGTATTCCCAAATTTGAAAAAAAAAAAAAACAATAAAGCCAATTAAATATAAACTAAACTATCCAATATTACAAACATGCAAAACATTAACGAACCTCCTTTTGTTACACTGTACACCTTAAAAAAAAAAAAAATAAGCAAAGCTTCCATTTTCAAAAAACAAAAGGCCACTAGACACGCACCGGTAGTGCTCGACGCGGCCGCGGAAGCGCACGCAGAGCGTGTGGTCGCCGGGGAAGTTGGTGCTCTCGCGCACGAGGAACACGCCGTCCGGGGAGCCGGAGAGCAGGGCCTCGGCGCGCTCGCGCGATATGGCCCCGTGGTGCCATCTGCCGGCGTGAGGCGTCACGTTAGGGTGCGGTTTTTCGGACACGGGGAAACCTCATGTCCCCCAAACATATCAATTGGTGTCGATTTTTTTAATGTGAAAAGTCGCCAAGCGAGCAAGCAGTTCGGCTGATGTAAGGTGCATACCGCCACCCATGGACATCTGCTAATCCCGCGGCTGCAGATGCGTTGACTACTGAAAATTGGGCTCCGGCTACCTCACTCACCAGACGAAACGCGAAAGTATCAATACTTCCACTTCACGCCGGTCTTCTGTGAGGTCTCGGTATTAACCCGGACGAGCCTGCCCATTGATATTTTGGATGTTTTGATGATGTTTTGGACCCTTTGAAACAGTTTGTTCACACATCGTCGTTTTAGCCTGTTTAAGTACACTGCTGGATGCTCAGCAACGAAGCGCGTTCCTGAACTACCTGTATCCATCGACTTCCTGCACATTTCCATAGATTGACACGCCAACTATCGGGATGTCGCCTACACTGGCGATAGCCAGTACGAGGTTGCCACTCGAAAACCTTTCTCCCTATTGGTTAAGTTCTACGAGCTATATGGGCCGGCCCATTGCCACTTCAACTTAACAATTTTCTAACTAACAGACTAACGGTCTTTCCAAAACGAAACAAGTATTTGTGTGGGTCACAGAAATAATTGTCTCGTGGGAGTCGAAGCCACGACCACCGGCGCCGAAGCATAGCCACTGCGTCACCGACTCATCCCTTCCAATGGTTCATATGGAACGCATTCTTCAGGATATACCTGAAGACTCACACTGTAAGCTGCGAATTAGGTTAACTGTTAACTAGCCAATAAAGTAAGCATTTTAGGAGTTGAGACATGCGAGATTACTCAAGACGGATCTATTCCTCGAGGCTAAAAAGGTCACATTGGGGAACAAACTTGCACTAGTAGACATTGAAAGCTTACCACCAGTAAGGTAGAGTTGGCTAATTGTATGTTTTGTATAGCGAATGATGACAGCGCGTCCTTATTGTGGTTTAATTTAGTTAAAGGTAACTTACGGTATAATATATGCATCACAATTTAGTGTAACGTATGTATTATATATAATACTTATATAACGCGTAGTTAGAAAGTGTAATATTTCGAAATGGAAGTGAGAAATTACCACAATCATAGAACTCTGCAAATAAAACAAGGTCGGGTCTATTCCATTGGTATAAAATACTATTGACGTAAATTAGGGGGCCTTGTGGGGTAAGAATTGAGAAAGATTGTTATTCAAGGTATTTCGAAATAATTATCGACGTTTGTATATTTTAAACGCCAATTTCTTGAGAAACTTCCTGATAAATTATAAACAAGAGCAAGGAAAATATTTAAAAACAGGTATTTCTAATACAGGTCAAGGGCACGAATGAATCGCGAGTACGCGTAACATTTCAGCCACATGCACTAGCAGAAATAGATAATGGCCCCGAGATAACTTTCCTTGGCGAACAACACAACATTTTGTCACGACGACAAACAAACTGGCGCGCGACCGCGATAAAAGCAACGTCAACAGTAAAATAAATGCGCAGTCCGTTACACTTGTTACCGTACACAAAATGTTACCGTATTGTGTGATAGAGAACAAAATGCGAAACGGGCGCATCGAGACCTGGCCGAAAAAAAAAAACGCATCACTTGTTTAAAAATTGAAAACGCCGCGCACCTCATAAATAAAAAAAGTAAATAAACCAACGCGCATCACTAAATTAAAAATAGGAAATAATTACTCGCAATCGTCATTGGATGACACCGAGTGACTTATATTCTCCGGTCGACCGTCGGTAGGCAACTCGCGATCCGCGCTCCCCATAGCTCGCCGCGACTGTGGCTTAGGCGGCCTTTGCTCTGCGATACGTGCGCGATAAGGCACAACTTATCTCTGTACACTTCTGATATACATTACAATTAACAACATATCTTTAATTATGTCTTCTCTATTGGCACGTCGCAACGCCTCCAAAAAGTTATTATGTACACTGGTACTTCAAGTTGCCGCTCGTGTTGTTAAAATAATAGGATAGATTACGATACGAAATTCTGTCAACGGATACGTATATAATGCTGTCTTTGATATACATAATTATGTTGATAACTTATTTGAAATTGTAAACATTAGTCAAAGCCAAAGCCCTAGTTAGGTATTTTCGACCGGCTGCCAGCCTCAATTTCAACTCACTTTGGGTATGAATACCCACCCAGATCCGGAACAATTATCAGTGGGACACGCAAACACTTGACCCGTGTGGGAACAGAATCCACGACCCTCGGCACCGAAGCCAATAATAGGCTTAGAAGTGCTATTTCTAGTCGTATAGACGCTCCTATCTAACGAAATACGCAAATCAGATCGCAAATCGTGTTGAGGCAAGTACCAATGTCCGTTTCGTATGAATTACTTGCGGTGAGATTTTCGCCAGAACGATCGTATGGAATCATCATACAATCGCGGACAATTTTGTCCAATTGAACGCCATTATGCGAGTAGGGGGGTCCGACACGGAACCGTCGTCGGTCGGCGACGTACTTCTTTCGAGAGTTAATCCATATGAAGTTCTCACGGTCCAGACGAACGAGCGATATCACTAGCCTTACGAGGTCTAGTCTTTTCTTTTTTTTTATGCGAAAAAGTGTCAAACGAGCTCGCGGTTCACCTGATGTTAAGTGACAACCGCCTCCCATGTGCATTTGCAACGCCCGTAGTGTTGAAAATAAGTAACCACTTATAAATAAAGTGGGCCCCGACTACTACACTCACATGACGAAACGCAGAAGTGTTAAATACTTCTACTTTATGCCGGTCTTCTGTGAGGTCGTGGTACTTACCCGGACGGACCTGCCCATTCGTGCAACTGTTGCGTGGTCCTACCACAGTTAAGTCTGGAGGCAAAGCGGTTTTACGGTGGTAGGGCCACGCAGCAGCCTCGGCTGTTGGATGAATGGGCAGGCCAGTCCGGGTAAGTACCACGATATCACAGAAGACTAGCGTAATGTGGAAGTATGACAAATACTTCCGCGTTTCGTCTGGTGAGTGAGATAGCCGGAGCCCAATTTGCAAAAGGTTGCCAACGCATCAGTAACCCTCGGGTGTACCGATGTCAATGGGCGGCGGTATTCACTTACCATCAGGTGAACCGTCTGCTCGTTTGCATTTACCGGCCGTTATTGCGAAATTAAAAAGTGACACACTCAAAGTTTATCATGAAATGCATCTTCGTTATTAATTGTATGTGAAGTAGACGGCTTATTTTACGTTGTTATACTTTAATCATTTCACCTTTTTTAGGCTTATCATTTGCTCAGAAGTGAAGGAAATCGTCGTTATTCGAAATAACAACAAAAAAAATATTTCGATCAATGATATGTGAAGTTCGCCAATCCGCAGTGGGGTCATGTAGTTTACTATGCCCTTATGCTGTAAGTATAGAGGACGCTTTTGCCCAGCAGCGGGATATAATATATAGGCTGTTTACTTGGTAGTTATCAAATCACAATGGGAAACAACAGGTTATGATGCCATTATTATATATCTGAAAATACCTTATTTTATCATTTCATAGATATAAACGTTTCCTCATTACACTACGTTTTCCCTCACTGTGAGAACGAGGTAGATTGTCACCACAGTATTGATAGTCTGTAGAGGAAGATGAGACATAAGGGAAACCTACAATTTAAGTTACATCCAGCCATTACAACAAATTAGAATTTTGTACAAGAGACAGGTCGACCCCCACCCTCGGAAACGTTGGCTATGAAAGGGCCGATGGATTCAGTCTCAGGATCGTCCAAGTGTCTTTCTGCATTTTGGTAACAGAGATAATTGTTTGTATGCTGGAAAGGATATAACAATAGATGCGCCAAGCATTGCTTCAAATGTTTAAAAAAACAATGTAGATAAAAGACGTTAAGATTTTCGTCGGTGTGGCAATCAGCCGTTTAGTTTAGTGGCTAAAGCGTCTGGCCGCGAATGCCGAAGACGTGGGTTCGATTCCCATAGCGACGACAATTTTTTCGTACTTTTCTACATGTTTTAATGTTTTTTCTACATGTTTTAACAGAGATAAATTATTAATCTATGAAGTGATTATAATGAAGAAATAAGAACTCACGGCCATTGGGTCATGTTGACGAGCCTGGTGGCGGCGGAGGGCGGGTTCTGCGCCGAGGAGTTGACCAGCACGTCGCTGGCGCCTTTGGAGACCGCTGCGTGCAAAAGTAGCATTCATATTGAGCCTTTTGCTAGACCAATATATTTCGATGATTTTTGTGAGAAGGTGGCATGCGAGCAGGTGAATTGTTAAATGATGACCACCGCCCGTGGGCATTTGCCACACCCGTAGGGATGCAGATGCGTTGCCGCCTTTTATTAAAGTGGGCCCCGGCTACCTCACTCACCAGACGAAACGCAGAAGTATAACACTTCCACTTCAAGCCGGTCTTCTGTGAGGTCGTGGTACCTACCCAGACGGACCTGCCCATTCGTGCAGCAGCCAAAGCAATTGCGTGGCCCCACAATTAATGTTAGCTATACGATGTATAGTTCCATACAAATACAAAGCCCAGTATAACAAATCTTAGGGTCCAGAACACAAGTTTCCCAAAGCGGTCCATACGGACCAATATAAGTTATTTCTCTTGGGCGTCATGATTAAGTTTTTGTTACGGTAAGGGTTCACTGGTATAAGTTTGGGGTAAAGCTGTTTGGAATAACTTAAACTCCTTTAAATGTCCCGGTGGTAATCTCGAGGCAGTAAAAGGTTTACGGTACGACGCAAACGTTACGTAGATTGGGGTGAATCCAGAACTGGTGTGCACAAAGTTAGCTGATTTTCAAGACTCGATTGCTCGACGAAGATAAATACTCTATGCTCGATGGAGTTAAGGCTAATGTTACACATCGGGGCACGAATATGACATTTGAAATTGACGATTGCATGTTTGAAATCCGAAAGAAAAAAAAGCGGTCAAAACAGCAACCATAAGCGATATAGTTCTAGGATCCACCTCCGTCTAAACATATATTTACCGAAAAATATTTTTTATTGAAGTGAATGCAACTTCAAATATAACTTAATTATTTCTTAAGAACCAAGGAATACTTAAGTTTCTTCTGGTGAAGAAAGCTAAAATTGGATTGCTGCTACATCAAGGCTGCTATGTCGATATTTAGGAAAGTTTTTCGCCAGAAAAAACTCTACAGTTCTACTGTAGAACGTCTAGGTAAATAAACGACTCTTGTCTATTAAATGTGTATGCTTTCAAATACATCGTTTTCCAAAAATTTCTCAGATTTATGTTTCATTTTGGAATCGAAACTAAGCAATCGGCCAGGCAAATCATCATTTTCTTCAAACTTATGATCTTTAAATATGACTAACGTCGTCCAACGCGACATAGTTCAGTACTGCTGATAACACGGTCACTGGGCCAGCTTTTGACCCCGGTCGCACACTATCGACTTGTATTCAGTGACTTATCGAATATTAACGACTCCAAATAGGTACGTAAACTCACTGCGAAGAGACTGTGTCGAGTTGCGTGAAGACACGATTTATAGTTAAGACTGCTGTTTCACTATCAGAGACAAATTCACAAATTCTCATTCATTGTTGATAGTATTTTAATGATGTTCGACACACCGTTTTACATTTTGTATGACATGTTAATTCGATTATCATAATGCGAAACTTAAAACTGATTTAACCCCATATCCGAAATCATCGCAACCTTCAAAAGCGTTCCATTATTTCACTTCGAGCAGCCACGCGCCGCTGTCACGCGCTGCGATCTGATGCCATCAAACGTCGATAGCAATCGCGCCATAATCATTCCCTTCGGTTTCCCGCCCGCAAGTCGAAAGAGGCCGAATACCGTTTTGCGGCCAGTCGTATTCCGCGGCGCGTAACGGATCGCGTTGTCTTGGGCCGATTAAAAAGAAAAAACAAACACTCACCGGGCGTCGTCTGCGACGTGTGCATCGCAGTCGGGGCGGGGCCCGCCGGCGCGGCGGACCGCACCGACGTCGACATCACGCCCTGCTGGCCGAGCGCGATGTCGCACTTCGCGCTGTACGACAGCTGGAACGGAATTGGGGCTTATCTAGGCGGCAGCTTTGCGGCGAATCTGAACGGGCCATATTTAATCGGGGATCGATGGGGGGTGACTATTTCGGGCTGGGGCTGCACTGTTGCAGTGCCCGCGATGGAAATAGACGCCGCGGAAGTGGTAAGCTCGGGGAAAGTTTAATTACTGTGCCCGTATGGATACGTCACTTTTATTGTTGTTTGCGTATTTAGATTCGTTACCACGTTGCTGTAAAGTACCGACTTCAAAAAAAAAAATAAGCCGTTCTCAATTCGGTACTAGTTTTTTACCTCAAAGTCCCGTCAATTATTAAAGGATAGTGAAATTTCTTTTCGCATTCGAATCAGAATTCGAAAATTGCAAAGTCATCTGTGGACCCAAATTAATTTTCCAAGGAGAACTCCGCAAAATCAAATAAAAAATGTATTGAGTGCAATATTTGGAGCCGTTATAGTTTGTATGTAAGTAAAATGTTGTACTTGTGAAATTTCTGATGTACCGGCTCCAACACACATACTCTGTCACGCAATATGCGATTTCATTCGTAACTGTACACACAATATGTAATGCAACCTTCACATAGTGAAACCGGAATATTTGAGATACCGCTCCATTCGTTTTAAGCTCGAAAGACGGGGAACAAACGATTGCAATTCGAAAAATTTCATATCAGAATAAACGTACCGTGACAGGTTCGCTATTATTACAAATTGTTTTCGACACAAAGTTAATTAAAGACCTCACAGCGTAGCAATGTTGAGAAACGTTTTTATCACATTGTATAATTACTTTATCTATACTTTGCTTGAAACGTGCACATTTGATATTAAGTATACGTTTATAACCGCCTTTCTGTTCAAGATTGATCAGTAGAAATGGAGATGAACAGGCTATGTGATGAGGGAAAATAAGGAAAAATGGAGCCTAGTAACAACAAACTGGTTAAAATCAAAAATCAAAATCAATGTCTTTATTCAACATAGGAGCATTACACTCGCTTATTGATAGTCAAAACACTACCACCGGTTTGGAAAAGAAAGCCACTGTACTGAGAAGAACCGGCGAAAGAAACTCAGCGGGCATTTTTTTTTAATTTTTTTTTTTGTAACATAAGCAGTTTCACATGAATTCATTAAAAATACAATATAATGACTCTGATTGAAAGAGCCTGGAGCGATCAGTTCATTACCAGAGTGTGTTATCATTTAAATAATCATTAATATTATAGTAGCCTTTAACACACAAACGTTCTTTTACTATTTTTTTAAATTTAGCTATTAATGCATTTTGAACGTTTTCTGGAATATTGTTTTAGTAACGTATACATTGTCCCATAAAAGATTTACTTATTTTGCGCAGTCTACTTGTGGGTAGGATCAATTTATTTTTGTGCCTAGTATTTATATCATGGACATTATTATGTCTTGAAAATTTATCCTTATAAAAACTGGTCAACAACAGAAGACGCGGACAACAAATAAGGAGATGGGACTAAATAAAACCCAGAGGAGGGTATATGATTGATATCGTTAAAAAAATGGCTAGAGGAGGTCTTTGCCAACAAGTGCTCTGAATTAAGGGATATACTCTTATAAAATATGATGCAACAAACTGTTCAGAAGAAAGGGCTTTATTATTATATGCGTTTACAAAAATATAAGAGTGGTACAGTTTGGAAGGTTTTTGCGTGAAAACATGGCGGTGTGCCTGATGGTGAGTACCATTAATCTCCAATGCAACCACTAATCGAAATCAAAAGACCCTATGGTGAGGCAATTCCGTTTCCAGCCTTTCTTAGGTTGAGCCCCGGTTATCCCTCAAACTGAAATGCAAAGTAGAAAATAAATCAACTTCACGCCGTTTTTCTGTTGGGGTGTGGTAATTTCCCGGGCGAGCATGCCCATTCGCAGACAGCAGAGACAACAATGTGCCTCTCTACAGTAAGTATCCGTCTAATTTTCCTGCTGAGTTTCTTACGCCAGTTCTTCTCAAGTGAGTGGCCTTCCTTCCGAACCGGTGGTAGATTTTTTGACTACCATTAAGTAAGTGTATGCTTCTATATTGAATAAAGATATTTGACTTTTGACTTTGGTTTAAAGTATTCACCCTGCAAACGGTATCAAAATTGACATTGATGATCCGAAAATCGCACCAGTATAGGACTTGGTCAACTTAGTAGTTGACATTCTCATATGCCAACGAGAGCCCCATTAAAGGAGTTTTTTTTATCATTAAACTTTGTTTATATAAACTTTTGTTTTTAGCTTGTAGAGACTTTATCCTTTGAAACGGTTCTGTTTTCAGGGTTCTCAAATGATACAGAACTTAATCATAATTTACCATAAATATAAAAATATACAGTAGCCAGTGCTTTTGAACAAGCTTCAGAAACTTTTCAATGTCGACGAACTATAATTAAAAAACTAGGTCTAATGGAAAACTGAGTTCGGGCTCGTTGCTCTAACGTTGAGAGAGTAAAGTTGAGAACTTGTTAATATTTTATGGTTTAAAACCTTTTTCCGGTCGAATAAATAAGGCGGCTTAGTCATATATTAATCATTACTGAGTTTCCATTAGTATAATAATCGTATTTATACAATCTCTGTTCTTATGTTGACGCGATAATGTATTTTTTTTAAATAAAACTTATTAACTCGAATTTACAGAAGTGTCTCGACACTGGATTCTATGACGTCGGGAATTAAAATTTAACGTGAATAACTTCTATTAGTTTCATTTAAGGTTCATATTCGAGCTCACCTCTGTCAAGGATAAAACTAAATCTGGAAGTCAAAACAAGAACGGAAATCAACTCGATACTTACGTTATGCTGTATCGAACTTTGCAAGGCTGTCGGCGACAGTGGCACGTGTGGACCATTACTGGCGACGACTCCGCCTCCCGACTATGAACAGGCAATAAACACTGATGAAACACTCGCTACCAATGCCCACGGCGTAGTTAGTAGGCGAGTTATTCAATAACACGCCAATAAGTTAGCCGAGTGTCGACTCTTTAATCCTGCCGGTCAATTGATGTCCGACGCGGTGCGAGAACAATTCGGTGCAAATAGTTTGAGAGGCGTAAACACACTCTACCGATGCCCACGGCGTAGTTAGTAGACGAGTTATGCAATAACACGCGAATAAGTTCGCCGAGTGTCGACTCTTTAATCCTGCCGGTCAATTGATGTCCGACGCGGTGCGAGAACAATGCGGTGCAAATAGTTTGAGAGGCGTAAACACACTCTACCGATGCCCACGGCGTAGTTAGTAGACGAGTTATTCAATAACACGCGAATAAGTTCGCCGAGTGTCGACTCTTTAATCCTGCCGGTCAATCGCTGTCCGACGCGGTGCGGGGAACAATGCAGGGCAAATGGTTTGAGAGGCGTATGTCCTTGCGGGAAATGAATGCAGGAAAAGCTATGATAGGTACCTACGATTCGTCACGGCAACACACAAGGTGGACACACGTGACACTATGGAAGGGTATTAGAATTACGAATGAGACAGATCTTGCGTTGTTATTTGATTACAGGCAATAGCTAAATAGTTGTCTAGAAAATGAAGACATACTTAAAAAGTATTATTAAAAAAAAATGTACCTGCACCTATACAATTTAAATATTTATCCACTTTGTCTTGCGCTGGCCCAAAAGTAGACACATAAGTATCGTAAACAGTAACCGAATAGGAATATAATGTACAAATAAATAACATAGAAATAAATAGGCTATTTATCAACTTAACTTGATTTTTAACCTCAACAAAGATACACTCGTGTTCCCGAGTGTATCTCAAATGGCTAAAAACTGATAATCTTAAAATTGATGTCTCCATCATTAGTTTTGATAGTGCTGAGGAAAAGATGGCATTCCGATAAAATAGCACTTTTGATAAATAATCTCACCCTCCGTCACAAAAAAACCCCACAATGACATAGTACCTTCAGCTTTAGTTTACTGTTATTCGTAAACGGAAAAAAGCCGCCAATCGTGAGTTTTCAATATTTTTCAGCGGACGCCGCAAAAAACAATCCATCCGGGTCAATGGCAATCCCGGTCGGCGGTTTTCACCACTTCGGAACTGGGCTCGGTATGATTCAATGTCAGCGAAAATGAAATCTCTACAGTGCTCGCGGAAATCAAAACTTGAAAAAAACTGGCACAAAGTGAAATTCATAAAGATATTTATTTTAATAAAAAACGTTTTCTTTTTTTAGATTAGATTTTTTTAAATATAAAATATGGAAGAAAAGTTTACTGACAATGGGTAGCGTTGTTTTAGAGTTAAATTTAGTTTGACCAAAAGTATCTTTGTCACTTATCAATAGCAATATTAATCGAACTAGAGTAATAAATGCTCCATAAATTGGAAGTTTTTCTTTAAAAATGATACAAATTACAGTACTTCCCTTTGTATTTAATATTAGGCAATAGTCTAATATGAGTATATTACCTGTCGTTATACTAATATTAAATTAAATATATAATATAATAATTAAATCGTATATAACATATTAAATTAATCTGATGCAACAATACTTTATGAAAACCAAACTTTTAACTTCATTTTAAGCGCTATTATCACTCAATTTAATATTCTCGGGGCTGCGGGGTTCGAACCTGAGTCCCAAGTACCGCACCCGTACAGAGCGTCTGAGTTACAACAGAACTAAGCTGAACTTTTACAATATTTACCAAATAATAAAAAATATGATTTGTGTTACAACCTAAAAATATAAAGAATATAACCTATATAGCCTGCATATGTCCCCTTGTTATCAGGCCGTCAGTTTTCGGGTGAAGGGAGTCAATATTGCTGAATATGTCTAAAGCAAGCTGCAATATTTTCATTCACCATGGAAGGTAGACTGAGGTGTGCTCTTACCGGCAGCTGTGGTGGGGGCTGGGCCCTCTTGAGCCTGGCTGGAGCCGTTGGTGCGGTGGTGGCCGTCGAGGCCGAATACCAGCCGCAGCCTACGCTCTGCGCTCCCGCGTGCACGCCGTGCTGCAAACGAATCATAGTGTGAAGGCATTTGCCATTTCTAGATAACAATCTCCATTCCTTTTGACGGGGTTATCGCCTCGTCGTGGGGGAGTGTTGGGAATGTTGTGTGACTAAGCCATGGCTTGGTCACCCATAGGTAAGCCACGAGGAACCTAACCCACTTTGGAAGCGGGCAATGAGGGTGCGGGGGACAGATTGAGGGCAGAGTGAGGAGTTGGAGCCGCTCTCTCTGTCCTCTGCAACCGAGGTGGAGTCCCGGGGAAATAGGAGTGGTGGTATTGTGTGGCCACTCCCCCTAACGAACTAAAGGTAACAATCGCCATCAAAGACACCGTCTTGCTGAAATATCTACTTAGGCCATATTTCGCTCGTGATAGAAGGTGGCAAACGAGCAAGCGTTACATAACATCTAAAGTACAGTCAGCAGTTGTAGTTTCATTGCCAACATTTAGGTGATTGGACCCCAGTAACCTTAAACTCCTGACGAGACACAATCATGAATTGGACTAGCTGGTCTTGTAAATATTCCACTTGCTGCTTTGCTACGTTTAACATAGTGACAATCTTTGAAGATAAGCAAGTAAATAATTGGAAAGGAAAATGTCGTACACAGTTACTAAGGCATTGGGATTCGCGTTTGGTTACGTGTGTCGTGAATTCGATTCCCGCACGTGACAGGTATTTGTGTGACCTACGGATAATTTTTTTGTATCTGGATGTTTATTCCAAAGTAGGGTAGACATCAGGCCGGTCATAAAAAACCTAGGCAATAACATTAAAGACATTATTATCCACATGTTGTGACAACCCCACATTGGTAGAATAAGGACAGGAAAATGAGATTCATAATGGTAAGGCGTACGAATTCGAGATTAATGTACGGTCGAGATTATAATCATCAACAATTATTGTTTGTGACGATTTGGTTTGACAAACGAAGTTAATAGTACTAACCAAGACCCAACTTGGAAAATGTACTATGAGTGAGGAGAGCATTTACTGTTACTAAATGTTGCTACAGACGTGATTCGATAACTAACGTCTCAGTAACAGGTTTGAAAGGACTCTAAACAGTTTTATTTTTATGAATTTTTAGATCTACGAAGAGACTGAGCATTTGAAACTACGAAAATTTATTATTGAGGGAAATTGGAGGAAGATTCAATATCATTCCGTCCATGTTGTACTTCCATTACTTTACATTAATTTATTTGCTGAGATAAATTAAGAAGTGGATTACCTCAGTCCTATTTAGTGAACCCATAACATCCATAGCGCGATAGAACTTTTTGCTAGGCTAATATGCATTTGTTTAACTTGACTACAAAATATAGGCATAAGAGTCAAAGTCCAAATCACAAGAAATACTTTAGCGAACCCAGAATCGCTGTGGAATAACACGAATCTAAAATGAATTGGATATTCGAGAAAGCGATAGTTTCACCCCATCCAGATAAGTTCCCACGCAAAAAGACTACTCTTAACGATCAACTAAGAGGCGAGAGTTGGCCTGGCGCCAACGCGGCAAAGAAAGCACTTGCAATATATCGCTGTGAATTTGTTCATACAAATTCTATAAGCGATTCGCTGTTGTTACAATGTACTCTAAAAAGTTATACTCAATGCAAACAAGAATTACAAGAGAATATTGCGCACCGTTTAGAAAGATCGTCACATCATTAGTTTGTTTCAGTCTATTACGAGAGCTTTACTCGGGGTAATTTTCTTCTCATTGCCTTAACGCTAATATACTTTCTTTAAATTGTGTGTGTCAGCAGTGTTTTAATTTCGCTTTACTTTTCACTCTATCAAATCCAATTATTAAAGAATCATATTTTCTAATCGAGTAAGCGTTTTATCACACATCATTAATATCAGTGGATTTTCATAATAAAATAAAATTATCGTCGGCCACGAATGCCACGCTGCGTTATAATGTACAGATTCAATAATAATGTCGCAGTAAATCGAATGGTCGATTTGCGACTAAGTTTTGAAGACATAACAAATAGTATCACAATTTGTATGCAAAGGATAGTTCCTCAGTAGCGCACCTACGCATCACGTGTTCATGAGTAATGTCGTAAGATTTATCGTCGATCGTCGGAATGTTTTGCAATGGTCGCCTTTTTTGCATTGAGCATTAATTATGTGCGGTACTTGCTAATACATTATTGTATGTATTTTACGATTTTAACTTTACAATGTAAACACAATAGAATAACGGAAACGTGGAAAACATAATATGTCGTTATACGTTACACATTTATCTTATAACTTTTTACGGTATTGGGATATATATTACCTTTTAGAAGATTCTTTATGAAAAGAGGACAGGGTTATGTAAGATTTTCACCTATTAAACCCTTCATGCCCACTTGGATCTCGGGACCTTGTACGAAGCGCACCGTGATATGTAATAAACCCTTGCCAATTGCACTAATATCACGAATACAAAACTTTGTGAGTTCCTTCTTTTTGCCGCCATAGCTGAATGGACTTTCATAAAATTTGCAATGGCAACTTATACATAGGATTAATATCTAAGCTAGAACCTTTTGTTTCGTAAAATACATTTTATACAGAACTAAAACACGCGGCCCTATGTAGTGTACGATATCGTTTTTGAATTGTTATTTCTTGTTATTTTCGACCATCATTATTTAGACAATAACGATGTGAACGATATATCGCACTATTACATTATTAGGCACAGTTTTCAAAACGAAATAAACAAATTTGTATTCGCAATCAGATAAACTACACATTTTAAAACGCTTGTAAAATCCCCAATAGCATTTCAAACGAAGTATTATGTAAACAATTTCGTCTCTGTACCATTGTTTATTGAAGAAGATGCAATAAACTAAGACAATGTTATGAGAAAAACATATACAGTAGGTACCTGGGCAAGCGGCGGATGTGCCTGGTGTCGGTGCACGTCAGAGTTCATATCGGCCCACGTCACAAAACCTTCCGCACTATGTGTGCTTCATCATCTGTTGACAACATAATAATAACATTAAATACAAATGCCACTAAATGCGTTTGAACACATGGTTCGTATCATAATCTTAATGCCTGGAGCAAGGCGTACATGAAAGGAATATATAATTTAGATTGCCGCAACCTAAATCGCTCGATAACAAAAATGTTATTTATAATTATTTATTAAAATAGATTAATCTATAAAGTCTAATAAATAACAGATCCCTACATAATCTAAATCTTTTCTATTGTGTATTCGTATCTTTTCTTTTTAGTTTCATCTTTTAAGTTTTATAATCCTAAAATTGGTAGAATAATCGAGGAAATATTTTTTGCCACAACGAGTAATATTTCAACGTATTTCTCAAATTTGTTATTATTGCATTCAAGCGATGCTTGGTGCCGTCTAGGTGTGCTTCCTTTACAGCAAACGACCACTTTCTTAAATGAAATTTTACTTAAATTTGAAAGTTAGAAATATAATCTTTATGAATGAATGAATGAATACTTTATTGTCCATCACACATACACAAAATTAACAATAGACAAACAAATTAATAGTATGGACAATTTGGCGGCCTTATCGCTTCATAGCGATAAGGCCGCCAAATTGTTTTTATTTTTTCTAACAGTTTTTAAAATAGCAAAATAAAATTGATCTTTACAGAATATGAGATAGAGTATTTAAAATGTTTTCTTGAAATACATAATTAATTGACGTGACAATTTGTTGTGGTAGAGACGGTTTAAGAGCAACATTTATATTTTTAACCATTTATGACTCCTCCGATGTTGCAAATATCCATAGGCGGCGGTGATCGTTTCCCAACTGTTGACCCGGTTGTTAGTTCTCCTTTTTTCTATTAAAAAAAATCTGATGAGAAATTTATATCGGTAGAAGTAGCAACGCGCGGTGAAAACGAGAGGAAATTGCGTATACGGGAAGCTATTTCACTCTCGGGGAGCGAATGATAACGCACAGCCGCCCGAGCGTGGAGCATGCCGTGACCGCTTCTGTTGCGATTATGTGAAACGAATTGCGCCACCCACTTGCGGAGAATCTATTCTAGAGTAAACAACGTTGAACGCCCATGTTGTAAATTTATAGGTTAGAGAAAATTTGAATAAAAACGACACGGGACCAAAATGATTACAGCAAAAAGTTGAATCAAAGGTGTTTTCATATTGATTTTAGGCGAATATTTCTACATAATAAATAAAACTAGTTTACTGATTTTATTGTGTTTTAATTTTGTTTTTTAATACAGACCCAGTGTGCCGCGTGACCGTTAACAGTTGTAAGGGTTCGAAACGTCGGGTATTAAAAATCAAAATTAAAAAGCGGTAAAATCCGTAAACTAGTTTCAAAGGAGTTTAGTTCTGTTCACAACTTATAATGAATGTTAGGTATATTTTTTTCTTTTACGAGAGAACTAACGAGCAGGCGGTGCAACTGTTGTTGATTGATTTACCGCCGCCAATGGGCATCGACAACAGCCGTGGGGTTGTAGCTCTTTGACCACCTTTGAGAGAGCGTGAGGGGTTTGGTTCACTTTCCAGTCGAATTGCAAACTTATTAATAAATCTGATATAACCTCTGTCTTCTGTGGAATGTACTTCGGAGGGGACGGTTAACATTAATGGTACCTAATGCAACAACAGATGTTACTGCGTCGATCTACTATAGTGAAAACATTTTATTAAGGTTGCATCTAAAATGTGAAGTAATCAAACATTAACAAACTTAGACGTTGATTTAAAAAAAGTAATCATAAAAACAACGAGAGTAAAAGAATCGACTAAAGATCGAACCGCTCGCTGCACAGTTCACACGATATTAATTTTAAGTATCGAGTCCACCATATTTTATGTATGTTGGTGCGTCCCCGAAACCCATTGACGGAAGGCTACGTTTCGAGCAAATGTGTATCTGGCTATCGTCACTCACGGAATTCGACTGTAGGTCGATATAAAAAGATTTAAAGCAAAGTAAAAAAAATGTTTCTACATTAGTGTATCACGTTATGTATGTTACAAAAACTTCTTAAACGGGTCAGGATTGTTTTCGTTGGGTAACCAATGTTTGCTAACTTCTTCATTCTAATTAAAATAATCTCAGAAGCAAAACGAAAATCATAGTACCATATTTGTTTTAAGGAATTTGTGCCGAATACATAGACAGGTTCTGTCTGAATCAGCTCATCCAAACGATCAATCCAAAAATCTGTTCAAATAATCTTACCAAGATTATAAAATAAAACATGAAAGATTGTGTACAAACTAATGTTATAAAGAGCAAACATTGCTTATTTTCCGTAATGGGTAATCACTCGACCTACTGAAACAAGTTTTGAAATTATTTTCGCTAATGCGAGCCTCCGTCTGCTGTGATAGCTAAGTGTCGTGGCGCTAGTTTTTAATTCATTATACTCGAGCAACCCTGGTTTAAATCGCGGTACCGGCATCAACGAAATTGTTAGATGCAATAAGTGGTTTTTTTAACGAGAGCTCATCGATCATTTTTCTTTGTTTGTCCCAAGTACACGACTGCTGAGGAGAAATCGAAACGTCGCGAATCTAAATTATGAAATAAAAAAAGGAAAATCCGTTACATTTTTCGCTTAACATTACAACAAACTATTATATTAACGTTCCTTATTCTGTGATTCGAGACACAATAGAGTTACAGCGCGGTGTTATTTACACGTGGGGGGGGGTAAGCGAGAAGCTTAGATCGGCTGGGATCTGTTGCAATCGCGCGGATATGGTAATTTTTCGATTTTACCCGAACAGATCTATCGCAAGCCTTAGCGTCGTTTGCAATTGGCAAATTGAGCCAGTTTAAAGGCATGGAGGCCAATAACTAAGCGGTTTAAGATACGGAATCGAGCGTATAACTTTAAGATCAATGAGGGGATCTAGATCTAGATCTGGATCTAGATCTCATGCATTGTGTAACCTATTCACAACATAAAATAACTGCAACATTAGACAACTAATAAATATTTGATACAAACAACCTCAGTAACTAAACACTGCCTAACATTATATAAGGCATTGGTAGAGTTAAATAAAACAATGATTTCTTATTAATTTTCATAAAATTTAATGATTATTTTACAGATTTTACCGAATTAATTTGCAAATTCTAGATATTTGAATGATTTTCGGCACATGTGATCGCAAAATAGACGGAGCCGAAAGATTTTTGCAATTAGGAATGTTTAAGATCGGGAAGTAAGTCTCAATGTGCTTTTACGAATGCTCAGCCGGGAAATTACGGTATCACATAAAGACGTGGACAAGAGTTGGCAACGCATCTTCAACCTGACACTAGTGTAGATGTCCATGGGTATTACTCGCAAGCCACCTTATTACATAAAAAAAGTATATGCCTGTTCAAAACCCAAAAGGGAAAATGGCTAACGTGCTAATTTTTGCTACAAATAATTGTATCTGAACAAGTTTTATTTCATTTTAATTTGGGATGTTTTTGTAATACAAAAAGAATACACATGCATCACGTATTTCATATTACAACAAAACAACTTTTTCGGGGTTTCTAAATATCGTACAAAACTGGTTCCATATTATAAGCTCACATTAGCGTTTCACAAGGCGCATAATTCACGTGACGCAAGGGTAATCAATATTTTAGGTTTATGTGAAATATCTGTCTTGTAGGTCGAAGTTAATTAATAATATATAATTAAAATTCGAACGGTCATATTGATTGCAAATTTTCTAAATTGCGAAGCAAAGCGATTATAAATGATAATCTAAATTAAAAACACTGGAAAAATGCCCACATCTTGAAATTGCAGTTTAGTTCATAGGTACTGTAAGGTATCTGTCATTTTAATGTATTGGTCAGTCCGCCATTAAACGTCAAACATCATAGACCTCTTTCATTTACCTACTATATACCACATTGGCGACGAGGAAAATTTTGGTAATTACGTGTGTGTATTGTCTAGACCACCGGCTTAGCAATGTCTATTGGGAAGATAGCGGAGTTTAAAGTGCACACTGACAATTGGAGATTGTATGTGGAGAGGCTTGAGCAATACTTTGCGGTAAACAAAATCGCCAGCGAGCTTCATGTGCCTACATTAATCACGGTCATGGGAGCAGAATGTTATGAGCTACTGGTGAGTTTATGTACCCCGGAAAAACCCACGTCGAAAACATTTTTGGAGTTAACGAAAATTCTAGAAAACTACCTTCAACCCAAGCCTAGTGAACTTGCCGAAAGATTTAAATTTCGACAAAGGAAACAGAGGGACGGCGAATCAATTTCAGAGTATGTGGCGGACCTAAAAAAGATGTCGAAGACTTGCGAATTCGGTAGCTGGTTGCAAGAAAGTTTGCGTGATCAATTTGTATGCGGTATCAGTAGTGAAACGATTCGGCAACGTTTATTTGCAGATGGCAAACTAGATTTTGGCCAAGCATATCGTTTAGCAGTAAATATGGAGGCGGCGGAGAAGGACGCAGCAAGTGTTGAGGTTATTTCAAGGGCACCGGGAGACGCGAGCGCATCTACAAGCAGCTGTCACGCGGTTTTTAGTGCGAAGCGAACGGAGCGAGCGAGCGATCGGTTGTGACGGCGAGCGGCGCGCGGGCGCTGGCTGGCTGCGCGGCAAAGGACAACGGGCGGCGGCGGCGGTGCCACCGGTACACAACGTGCCACGTGGATCCACTTCGATGCCGGATGACCGACGGCAACAACGGCGAGTGTGTCGAGCGTGCGGCAGGGCACACGATGTAGTGGCATGCAAGTTTGCTCGCTACATATGTCGAGTGTGTAATAAGCAAGGTCATTTACAACGGATGTGTCCGTATCTGGCGGGACAGCATAGTGTCAACATAATACGCGATGACGACACGATACGACATGACGAGGTTGTAAGCAGTGACGAAAGTGACGAGGTAATCGTCAACATTAATCAGTTAAGCGTTAGG